TTCTATCTCCTCTGAAATGTTAAAAGGAGCTAAGTTTGGTTCAGCGTTATGCATATCCTGCTTTGGAAACAGTCATGAATGCCAAAAACCACATAAGAACAAAAGGCAGAGTTCTGAGAGTTTAAGAGAAATGCTATTGTCCTAGAATTCTGTTCCGGTACAGCAGAGTTCTTTGACTCTCCCTCAAGGCAAGTAAGCATTTCTTTGACTCTTCCACAGATTCAGAGGAAATCAAAACGGACAAGTTACATGGCAGGATTCACTGCCGTTTTCAGGCCAGAAGCTAGGAGAAAAGGAAAGGAAGATGTCTGTCTAAACGGGTTAAGAAAAGGGCAGCCTTCCACGGAAAACTGCATCACTGTTGATCTGCAGCATGCTGCCTGCAAACCGTGCGGCTCGGTGTTTCCTGGCTCTCTTGCATGGCATCTAGAAGCAGCGGAGACGGGGGCCCATCTCACAGCAGGAGGTGTTCAGAGCGGAGCCTCTCACTCACTCCTTCCATATATGGGGGAGTTGGGTGGGCCATGCAACTCGCATCAGCTCTAGCTAGCATAGCCAATATAGAAGGATGATGGGAACTGTAGCCCATGGGTCACAACTTACCCACCCCAGTCGAGGATCAGCGACTTTGGCTGCTGCAACTAAAGGCAGTCCATAGAATTGGACTTCAGGGCATTCGACAGAGGCATTGTCAAATCGTGCACTGTGTGGAGGCAAAGTTAGCTGATGGCAGTTATTGGACCTAATAGCCTTGTGCCCTCCAGATATTTTAGACCACAACCCCCAGCATGTCTGCCAGTGGTCATGCTGGATGTGGCTGATGGGACTTGGAAGTACAAAACACTGGGCACCAGGCAGGGGATGGCTGAGCTTTGAAGTGGGAGATTTGGGACAGATAATAGGAAGGACTTTTCAACAGTAAGTAGTTAAACTGTAGAATCCACTTCAACGAATTGCAGCAGTGGCCATCAAATTGGATCACTTTCAAAGGGGATTGGCTGAACTCACGGAGGATATTGACTACCAATCGCTGCTAGTCCTGGTGGAGATGTGCTCTCTCCAGTATCGGAGACACCAAGCCTCGGTGCCCCAGTGGCAGGAGAGCTGGAGTTGCGGTTGTGCTCACGGGCTTCCTATAGCCAGCTGGTTAGCCACTCTGGGAACAGAATGTGGAACCAGACAGGCATCCTGTCTGACCTTCTTATTTTCTTAAGATATACTCCAGCCATTGATCAATCGACTGCTAAAAGCCTTTATTGGGTTGGCATGGCTACCTGACGAATATTGCATTGCAAGGAGGCACGTGGGTGCATCTCCGGGATTCCGGGGGGAAGCTTGCTGCAGAGCCTTGGGCATGGACTGGAAACGATGCTGTGGCAGCCTTCCATAGCGTAGTCTGGGTCTGGCCAGAGCTTTGATGAGAGGCCACCCACCTGGCCCACCCCTTGTGTATCTCTGTGATGCCCGTGGAAGTAAAACGTGAGATTGGGCACAACAGTCCAGGCTGCTGCCCTGCTTCACATCCCACATTACCTTAGATCTCCTTTTTTATCATCTAGCTCTAGCTATAGCACCAGGGAAAGGAGGGAAAGAGGCTGGGACACTGATTGGAATCAGGAGGACTCTGCTGCCCCAGCTTTGTCCTCTCCCTGCCCCCTTGCATGCCCCCTTTCCTCCCCTCCAAAGCCCAGTTGTGACCTCTGGGGGCAGTGGTGGGTGGGGAATAGGGAGAGCTGGCATGGATCTCTCTGCACCAGGTGCAGGGTGGACACTCAGCCTTTGGAGTCCCTACTCTGAATTCATAGTATCTCAGAACTGGGACTCTGAAGAATCCTATGGAGTCCCAGGCAATGTTAAGAGGCCATAGGATCGCACCTTAATATGTGATACAACATAAAGCAGGAAGCATTCTTCACAGTTGCTTCCAGAAGGATGGTCCCTGGCACCCACAGTCAAAAGGCATTGTGGAGCTGTTTCATCTTTTCTTCCTTAACTGATTTTTCCCCAGTGGAAAAAAGACAGGCAGTGAAAAAACACAGAAGGGCTAGATCTTAAGACATTTGGACTCCTTGTAAAATTCTGCAATGAAGAAGTGAAATAGAAACCTCATCTGGAAGTACCGTAAAGCTTAATTCTCAGGTCTATCAGATGGCCAAGTTACCTAATGAAATGCCCTCAAGCAAAAGAGGAAAAAATAATTACCTGCACACAAGAAAACTAGCATGTTAAGGGAAATGCTTCTTGCCAAGCCTTTTCCCGACATGCTAGTTTCCTATCTTCTGGGAATCTTTTGTCCAGATGAGCATTTAATCATGGAGAACCCTGCTTGTGCTCCAAAATGCTGTGAGTCAGGAGCAGAGAGCAAGTCCTCTGCCGTAGATAGGAGACTTGTTGAAGCCAGTAGATCTATATTGGTAGGAAAGTTTCAGGTGTATGCTCTAGCCTTTACCACCAGTTTCTTAAGAAAAGGTCTAAATCCTCCAACTATAGTTCTTCCAAAAAACATCTTTTGGGATTATTCTTCCCACATTGCCTGCCCTCCAAGCATTAATTCTCAAAGTACTAACACTACTGTCTGCAATGCCTTTATTATAGGGCCTGCATCCAAGGAAAGTGATTATTAAATCAATTTCCTTTGCTCTGCATTAATATTTAAGCTTTAAATAACACCAAGCGCCTTACATTAAACGATTACATTGTGCACAAAATGCATACTTCGCATCAGGATCTTTCTTAAGCAAAGGGGGCACCAAATGGGTGGCAAGTATGAGAAATCACAGTGCTGTTTTCCCAAGGATCTGCTTGCCTTCCATGTTCCTCCAAATTGCTTGACTTCTCAGTGTGATTGCTGTGGCTTGTGTAACGCAAATTGCACTAGATATGCAAAAGGAGACGGTATTAGTGAATTCACTGGTACCTACAAGTACTCAAATAACTCAGCAGAAGACAGATCCTCTCCAAAAGCCACAGGAGGACTGAGTATTATGGTTGGCCACAGAATACAGCCTGAACTTTGAGGGATCCGGGAGGGGAGGGGAGGGGAGGGGAGGGGAGGGGAGGGAAATAGACTGGAATATCAAAGAGGGGGCATAGTCGGAAGACTGAACCATGCAATATTTGTCGCCAATCCCATCTATGTTCCATTTGCTAATTTCTTGATGAAGCGCTTATGTTTTCCACCCTGCCTGCTGCTCAATGGGATGTCACCAAATGTTCAGAACAAAATAAATCAAGTATTTGCGGCTTTCTTGTCGGGCCATTCCAGTGCTCAATTAAAGGAGATGGTTGGGGGGTTGCCCTGTTAGAGCCGCATCCTGTCTCCTGCTTGTTGTTTTGTCCTTCAGAATCAAACAAACTTTCAGGAATGGTTTGCTAAATAGTTCTATGGGAAAATGGAGGATTGTACCATGTCAGGTACAGGCAAGATTGTTCCATATCCCCAACAGCAGTGGCCAGAGATGTATTTCATCTCCTCTTTCCAGTGGTATCCTCACTTGGAGACAGCAGCTTTTGTCATGGTCATTAGCCCTAAATGACCTGAAGCAAGAGAATTGCAGGAATTATCTCTTCCCATATTGGCCTCTTTGGGAGCAGTACTTCTGAGGTTCTTCTTGGAGCTTAGGAACATAGAAACAAAATGAGTCCTAAGGGACCTCCTGGTTCATCTAGTCTGACCCTCGGCTCCAGCTCCACTCATGTAATCCCCAACATGTGATTGTCCTCCACCACCACCCTATTGACCAAAGACTAGTAAGGAGAAGTTGCCCACAAATTATGAAATTATCTCCCCAGTCTAACACTATTATTTCGAGGGTCTTTTGTTTTAGTTAGGGCCTTCAATTGGTTTGCTCCACTGTTCCTTTGGTTCCAGCCCTTGTTATTGCCATTTTGCCATTTTGATTGAATTTGCGTTGGCGTTGTTATACCACTTTTATCCAAAACATCACAAGCCATCTTGAGATGGCATTTGCTTAGAAAGAAGAAAGTTTAGGTTGATATGAACAAGCAAGCACATAGTAAAATGCATCTGTAAATCAGGGGTGGTAAACCTCTTTTGGCCCAAGGGCCACATTTAATTCAGAGAAGCTCTTGAGGGGCTGGAGACACAGAGAGAAGGGCCCAAAATGCTGGCACATGATAGCTTAAAGTGCTCACTGCCTCATTAAATGCCTTAGGAGTGGCATTTCTGCTTCTTAGAAATGGAGAGAGCCTGGCAAAACCACGGAATGATAATCTGGATGCCACTTCTGATCAAGATGCCACTTCTGATCCACCTTGTGTGATCTTCTGGGAGGCACATATGTGGTGCGATCCTATACATGTGACCTCAGAAGGAAGCCCTATTGGGAGGTTTGTGCAGGATTGTAGCCTTATTCCTATCCCTCCCCTATCCTTAACAAAAACAAAACAAACAGTTGGGATCATCTGAGCACTTCTGTATCTGCAAACCCTCCTCGGCTATGTCTACTGCCAACTTTATTTAGAACTTGACCTTCGGTGAGGATGCCAGATAGCTTCAACCCTTGGGTCAGGCTGCGGAGAACAGATCAGCCCCCAAGGATTCAGGAGTTAGCCATTATACATACTAACAAATCAATCAAGAAAACAGGAGTTTTTTGTTTTGTTTTTTTTTTTTTACCATAAAAGCCTTTTATGGGGGGGTCTCGCAGTTGGAACAGGATCTCTGGGAGTAATTAGCAGATACGGAGCTTGATGCAGAGGTGGAGTAGCAAATTTTCACATACCATGCATAGGCGGAGGGGCTTGTTATTCTCATAATTCTTCCTACTGGAGGATGTCCCTATTGTTTCTAACAGAGCTGGCCGTGACCTGCGGGGGGGTTCTGAAAGAGCCATCCTCTTCCCCCTCCTCCCCACACCAGCAGATAAGTGTTTAGATGTGTTGGATGGATGGAGCTCTCAGGGCCAGCCTCAAAAATCCTGCTGATACAGAATGCCTTTAAGATCTTGCCTTTCCCATCCTAATCTACAGAGGAAACAGGAAAAAGGAACTTAAAACTCCCTTAGCTGAGGCCACCACAAAGCTTGATCTAGCCCACTCCAGCATTACGACTGACTTGTCGTTCGCTGGCAAGCAAGAGCTGCTGTACGATGCGAGGAAATAGCAAGAATTAAGGGCTATCCTACTGAAAGGACGGCTATTATTCCAGGAACTGCAGTGCAAACTGGATGGATATACTTGGCAAAGCATGGACTTTTTTAACACTTCTGGTTTTCTGTGTATTCAGCCTCCTGCTTTCAGGTAGGTTTCTTTCCGTTATTCAGGAGTCATCAGAGAATAGTAATTTGCTTCGAAGAATGAACGGGTCCAGGGGCAGTTCTCAACACTCTTACCCTGCTTTGATTTGGGCATTTTCTCCTCTCTTTGCTCCAGAAACAGTGCCCTGCTCCAGCTCACTATTATGGCTAAGTGTGATCGTAGCTCAGTAGCCTGTCACCCGATTTTTGAGAATTTGTTTGCAGAGTTGATCTGGCAGTTAATTGTCTGAATCAAGCTTACATATTGAATCAAAGCAATTTCTGTCGTTGTTTTACATCATCCAAAAGTACTAGATCAACTTTCTGACACATCTGTGTGACGGAGCAGTGGCGGGGGCAAAGTGTGGCATTTATTATGATTTATGTTAGCAAGTGAAATAACAGCTTTCAGTGGCTGGAGAAGTTTGCTGTTAAGTGAAAAATTATAGTGATAGTCAAAATGAAAAGAAAACAACGTCTCCCTTTTCTTTTTCTTCTGGCTTAAATTAGTCCTATGCTCTCATTTTCTCCATTTCCCCTTTTGCACCTTCCTCTCAGCAATATGAACAGAACAGTGTGTGGAGAAAGGGAAAATAAACGAAGCAGACAGAATGTGAGATTACCGGGCTGTTGACTTGGGTGACCTGGATTCAAATCTCTCCAGTGCTGAGGGTTCAATTAAATGAGCTTGGTCGATCCATTCTTGCTCAGTCTCTGTTGCCATGTCTCTGATGTCTGTGGGCAAATTGGGTAAAAATCACATCACCACATTCCCTCTATTTACTTTGTGGAGAACTATCATTCCTTTGGCAAAGTTGTTGGCCCTCTCTGCTCAGGAAACTTTATGTGCTGCTTTAAATGGTCCTTAGGACTAGATGTTAAAAAGTGTATACATTATAATGGTCTATGAATGAGTGTAGAAATTTTATCTCCTTTTCAGAGGAAGATTCTACATCTGATAACAACTGGTGGAATGTGATTCCTTAGATCAGCCTTCCTTATCCTGGTGCCCTCTCGATGTTTAGGACTACAAATCCCAGCATTCCTGACCATTGGGCATGCTGGCTGGGGCTGACGGGGGTTTAAGTCAAACGCATCTGGAGAGTACCAGGCTGGATAAAGGTGCCTTAGACTTACTTTAGTGAGGGTCAGAAACAGAAAAGATTACAACAAATGCTAGCTAGAGTTGCTGTTTTATTTTTCCTAATGTCTATTTCATAGTTGATCCACAATTACATTTATTAGCACAATATTTTTGTCTACATGTCTGTGCAAAAATTTCATAATACAACCGGCTGCATTTAAGCCCATGACAACTAATGGGTTCAAGAAGACAGCAGATGGCTGTGCCATTGTCACGTACTGGGTAGGAACAAGTGGTAGTTGGAGTCTTGCATTTTTATAGCCTCTAGAAAAGAGAAAGAATAGATCACTGGCAGCTTTTGTATTTTAAAATCACATTCTGTGGTTACTACAAATGGCTTGCCCTCAGTACACAGAAAATAGCATTAAATCCATATTGAATTCTTTGTTGTTTATATAAATAGGGGCAAATCTGAGAGAGAAAAAATGCAGCTCTTGAAAGTAAGCAGGGGTACAGAGAGCTGTGTTCAGATTCTGCCCAGCAGTTGTGAAGCTCCTTGTGTAACCTTGGGCAATAGCTCTGCCTGCCTGTCTGCCTGCCTGTCCCTCCGTCTTTCCCTTCCTCTCTCAATTTAATCTGCCTACCAAGGTTGGGGTAATGTTAAAGCCGGGGGAGAGGGGAAGGGAGCCAGAGGCAAAAGGGCCAGCCCAGTGTATATATTTGAACCCGAGTCCTGAAAAGCTGCCAACCCGCGAGGCTGGACTGCTTTAGGTGTGTATTCGAGTCACACCCTTCTCAATAGATCTGTCAGCTTTCCCGCTTTTGTTCAAGTGTGATATCATGTTTCCTGGGGTGAGCGGTGGAAGACAATGAGAACACGCCTTCCTCCAGATACAACAGGCGGAGTCCAGGAAAGCAGTATTGACATTCCCCGAGCAGGGAGGCGTATTCGAGGGAGGCAGTGCCGCTGGCAGGCTTCTCAGCACGCTTAACCTTGCCCCCAAGCGGTGGGGAAGGAAGGGGGGAGGCCGCTGTGGGTGTTGCCAGCGCGGAGGCAAAACCGACTCCACCCTTGTTCCAAGGTGGGGACCGGGCTCCTGGCTCTGCGGCCGGAGGCGTGAAATGCTTTCCCTCCTTTTCCTTCGGTGACCCGTGGACTCTTGCCAACCGCCAGCAGCCCCTCACCTCCGAAACCAAAAGGCCGCCGAAGGACTACAGGAAGGGACACGTGCTCCTTTCCTATGTCGGTGTGAACTCAAGAGCAGCAAACGCCCTTCGGTGCTTTTTGAGGCATCAATGCAGGACAACGCAAGGGCCTACGGGCAAGTCATCAGGGACCGCAGAACTGTGTGGCTTTGTTGTTGTTGTTGTTGTTAGAGCACTTACACTTTGACGTTTGATGTGGATGACAGAATGCACTGGGAAAGGCAGGAGGCACGTGGGAATAACTGGCATTATATTCCTGACCTCTTCATGTGCTGATTCTAGGAAAGGGCCTCAGTGGGATTAACAGGAAGTTGGGTTCTGATATCACCCACTTTAGCTGGTTTTTGGTCCCTGGCAAAGCTGTATCAGAAGATGATGGACTCCCCCCTCACCACCATTTTTCGTGCCTGAGGTCGTAAAAGCAAGAAGGAGCAGGAACTCTATTAGAAAAGCACTCCGTACCTTGCAGTGCACCCCGTGACCTTACAGGGGCCTTTGCTCAGACAGGCCTTTCCTGCAAGCCTACCTCCTCTCGGGGTTTTCTTCACTGACATCATTCTTTCCCTGGCACTGTTGCCCACAAGAAAGAGGCTATCTGTACCAAGATCACTGCATGTATGTATTGTGTGTGTGTGTGGGGGGGTGCATGCTCCCACCCCTGGTCAGCATCACACGCAGCCGTCAGGGCAGGACAGGTTCTGCAGGCTTCCAGGACAGTGGCCCAGTCCACACATGCTGGAACGCCCACACAGGAGAAAATTCAGGATGAAGTAAAAAAACGATAGGATGCGCAGCACATGCAAGAAGCATCCTCTTAGCATGCCACCAGCAGGAACTACACAGCCGACTGGAGAAAGAAATGATAGACAAGTAAGCCGCACTGCAGAAGGGCCCACCTTGTCGAGCTGCTGCTGACAGAGGACCTGAGAGAGCCAAAGGTCAGGGGCAGGGGCACTTAGGGAGCGGACAAAGTGAAGTAGTGGTAGTAGTGACCAATTTCCTCTGTGGGGTTCCACCCATGTCCAGTGTATTGTTGCACGAGCCCATACTGCACACACAGCAAGTTGTCATCCCCAAGAAGTCAGATGATGAGGAAAAAGGTGGGTCTCCAAAGGTTTTGCTCAAAGGAAGCCAGGGGATTCTTCACTGTCATGCAAACAGCTCTTTTCTAGCTCTGCGTTTGTGCTGAATTCAGGTGGATAAAACCCTAACACAAGCAAAACTCAAAGGTCAGCTCGGCCAGGTTATGGAGAGTTGGACTGCCTGCATGTGTCTCACACAGGGATGTGACAGCAAGTGAGGCGCCCTGGCTTGCTGGCTTGGTGAAGTGGAGCTACGTGGAGCAAGGGTGACTGCTTTGGCCCTCCTGCAGTGCTTGGGGACTTTGCACTGACAATAGTATGCAATGGCTGGAGCTGGGACACCTGCCATGCTGCACATTTCTGAATGAGAGGATCTGGGGCATTTTGGTGCTCTCCATTCTACATGTGTTAATTGAGAGGAAAAGCAGGGGTGGCGCCAAAGGGAGGCACGGCCCAGCACCTGCCAAGGCCCACTCCTCACCAAGAACCCCTGGAGCTGCTCCTCCTCGCCACCATTTCGGGCTTCCTGCTCAGCAAGCTCTAGCTCTGGTCCAGGCAAGGCGGGTGGTGGGAAGGAGGTGGAATAAGTGCCATGGCCAACTTACCCACCGGTCCTCCGCCTGCCAGGCAAGCAAGCGGTCGAGGGAGAGGACAAGGAGCAAGAGCAGCTGGTGGCCACAGCAAGGAGAAGGTAGATTTACTGAGGGAGGGAGTCACAAAAGTTGTCCAGAGCCCTCAAGATCCTGGAGCCAGGACAGATAGTTGGTGCATTTGTAACCTGTTCTGCAGACAATTTCTCCTAAAGCAGCTCTACAAGTCTGAATGAATGAATGAATGAATGAATGAAACAAAAAACATGTTCATGAAAAACCCCTGCTTTAGGCTCACAAAGGACATTGCCACCTTATTCTTGTGCAGCTCCTGACAGTTGAACCAAGAGCTTCCCTGCACAGGTAGAGCAGCGTTACCTTTACCCAGCATGGCTATGCAAAGATCAAGATATTTCTGAATTTCTGCTCAGGATGGAATTCTGAAGGGCACAGTAAGCCTGCTAGGAAGAAAGGAGTGACTCTGTCAAAGAAACTGGGGAAGGTGGGGGCATGCACGTGCTAACCGGCCTTGGAAGGAGCCACCCATCCACCAGCTTCCTGTAAGACATTTGGCCTGGTGAGAAATCCCCACCTAGTCTGTTCAGTACTTACCAGGGTCCTTGAAGTGTAGCACAACCAGCATTAGTCACATGGATGATCTTTTCTGGAAGGTTTGGGAACTGGTAATTTTCATTTTGCTCAGGACTTGCTACATTGCAATTTTGAGTTGATTTTATATTTGTTGAATTGGTTTTGTATTTGATTTTTCACCAACGTCTCATAACCTTTTTTATTTTCAGTGTTTGCTTTTAATAAGTTCAGATTAATCTGAGCTGTTTTGAGCACACTTTACTGTAGAGATGTGCCACATAAAAACTATAAATAAATATTTATTTAAATTTAAATTTAATATTTATTTAAGAGCCAGTGGTAAAGATGCTTTCTCTCAAGCAAGAGTGGGAAAGGGTAAGCCTGGGCTTGGCAGGAATGCCAGTGTGGTGTAGTGGTTAAGAGCATGGGACTGGGCCTCAGACGATCTGGGTTCTAGTCCCCGCTATGGAGCCAACTGGGTGACTTTGGGCCAGTCACAGACTCTCAGCCCAACCTACCTCACAGGGTTGTTGTTGTGAGGATAAGATGGAGGAGGAGATGTAAGCTGCCTTGAGCCCTTTGTAGGAAAAAGGCAGGATATAAATCGAAAAATAAATAAACAAATAAACAAACAAACAAACATAAAAATATATAGTAGTGCTGTTGACACAATGAGTGGGTTTACCAGATCGCTTGGGAAGAAAGCCACAGTGCCCCTGTCCACCACCCCACCTTGCATGAGTCAGTTGTGCATCAAATACTTTGCCTAATTGCCCTCAGGACATGTGGGTTGCCCCATTGTCTGGACCTGGCCAGGTCCACAGCAAAGAGTGGCTTCCACACCACCCCAGAGCACTGCACAGAGCCATGGCTTGAGGGGTTGTTTTGAAGTTACCCAATGGTGCATCTCACCAGGCTGGACAACAAAGCAACCAAAGCAATTGCTTTGAGAGCAATTAGGCAAATTGTTTGACACAACACTGAAACACATGGGATGGGGAAAGACATCACTGTGGCATATTTTTGAGGATTATTATGAGAATCCAGCCATTCTAAGGTTAATTTAGACCCACGGTTATTGGCCTGTCATGTTGCCTGCACCTAGTCATGGTATTTAATCATGGCAAATTTGGTCTTTAGGAACCATGATAAGAAAGAATGGCTTGTTCTACCATTATTTGTACCCCCATGGCTTATCATGTTGTCTGAAACCAAGATTAAGTTTTCCATGGTCATCATTTACAAATACCACTGAGTCCTCCGGAAAGAGTGGCAACTGCAGGAGCTATTCCAGCCAGCCAGCCTCCATGTGTGGACCAATGAGGGAGAGAGAGGTGACATAGACAGCAATGCATCTTGAGATTGAATTTCAGGCACAGTGGCTGTTGGGATACATGCCAACAGCGGGAGGACTGACCAGGAGGCTGGGGACCAACATTGTCAAGCAGATCATGGTAAAAAACCAAGACCCACAGTAACCGCACAGGGTAGCTTGTTGTGCTGTGTGAATGCAGCCAGAGTTGGTTGGCCTCTACCTCTGCCTACTGTAAATACTGTTTGTTCAGATGGAGTCCCCAGAATTATTAATGGCCAGAGTCACCAAGAGTCTTAGTCTGATCCCTGCAGACACCCTATGCCACAGCAATCCATTGGCCCTTCTTTCAGTGCCAGGCGCATTTGCTGGTCCCGCCCCCAGAGGGCTACACAGAGTAGATTGTCTCCATAAGGAAAACCTGTACGTGAGCCACTGCTTGGGGATAGGCTTTGGCAGTGTAGACAGTCCATGCCGACCTCTGAACATAGGGCCCGATGCCCCCCATGGGCCAGCGGTGTGGCCCCACTCCCAGTGATCGCGTGACGCTCTCTCCATGTGATTGATGTCACATGGGAAGGTTAGCACCTGGAGCTGTCACAGTCTTGGAGAACTCCGTGTCCCCAGCCTGATGTCCCTTTTCTTTGCCCTTAGCAGCCACTTGAGTAAGCCAGTGTGGCTCCCCCATGGCACATTCCTGTTCCAGGGAAAGCATCACCTGTTCAACTCTGCTGGACTTTTATGAAAAGCAAGGAAGCAGGACAAATGCAGCATCAGTACCAAATGAATAAGAGTGATTTACACCACTGTGCTCTCGGAAAGGAATGCCCCATGTTCACTGCAAAATGAAAGATTGCAATATGCTTTGGAGGCATAAGGCAGCTTTGCCAGTAAGTCCACAAAAGTTGCCAGAAAAATGTATTGCTAGGGCATCAGTCTATGCTTGCCTATGTTGATCATCACTGTGGTGCAAGGAAAACATTAAGCAACATTTGCAGAACTGTCAAGTTCAGTGGAACTTGATTCTTACTACAAGCAACTAAGCAAGTTTCTATTGACAAAGCTGACGTGCACTTCCATGTAAGCAATAAATAGAAGAGATTGGCAGATTGTGGTCAAATCAGTTTGGAACTGAGCTTGGTCATTTAAACAAAAAAAAATTAAAATACAGCTTGCTTGACTGTTTAAGCACAATTATTAAATTAAAAAGCTTGCAATATTCCCAAGGACAAGATGGGAAACATGTTGGGCTAAATATCTTCCCGCTCCAGGGCTTCTGAGATCCTAAACTGTACCCTGATGTCCCCTTTCTCCAAGGTTACTTTGCAGCAGCAAGTTCTCTGTGAAGGTCTCTGTGTAAGGGAGACTCCTTTGCTGGCATTTTGAATGCTGTGCTTAAAAGACTGGGAATCTTAGTTCTCTTGGGTGCCTAAATGTGCAGCACTGGTCAGTAACTTTGAGTGAGGGACTACTGGGCCATGGAGTAAGGGCCAGCTAGCCACAGAGATGGGCAAACCCCCAAACAAGCCAAATCTGAATTCAGAAGGATCTGGCTTAAGCTTGTACTGGGGAGGGGCATTTTAAGTTTTATTCTGATCTTTCCTAGATCTGAATTCCTGGGAGTTTTATTCTGATCTTTCCTAGATCTGGAATTGTCCCACCACTAGTAAATAGTACCAATAGGCTAGTAGCAAGCATACACGCTTTATCATAAGTGTAAAAGACATTACTTCACTTAGGTAAGTAATTCCATTAATATATCATAAGAGGTCTTTGCTTCAGTGACCATTCATCTTGAAAGCATTTGTTTTAATGGCTAGCATATTCTTTTCAGAAGACTTTCTTTCTCCATTAGATATGGCAACGTTATCTGAGTTGGAATATTCAAGTGTGCGATTGTAGCATTCTCACTGAGAGTGGTGAGCATAAGCGTATTTCAGTGCACTTAGTCCCACAAGACTAGACAAATGCCAGCATAGAAAGAGGTCTCCTCCCTTTGATAGGTGCCCAAAGTGCATACATTAAAAGCCTACGGTAAGTGCTAAGCTTCTATTTAGGCTCTAAGCTCACTATTTCTACGCTCACCATTTAAATAACTTCAGAAGCTCTTTGCAAATTTGACAACACTTAATTTGGTAGGGAAAGACCCACCATAGACATATCAAGTTCTGCAGAACTTAGATGTAACGGTGAAGGCACCCCAAATCAAATACTTGCAGGGGCCCTCCTGTCACAGCCCAGTTGCTGCATTCTCTCTGGGTGACCCGGGTCCCCTCCAGAATCAACCACCAGGAAAATCAGGTCCGTGCGTTTGCTGGTTGTGCATGATGCTGATTGGCTGGTGCCTGTCATGTTCTTGAAAAATGTTCCCGTCTCCCAGAGGTAGTTTGGCAACTTTGTCAGAACCAAGTGTGCTTTTAAAAAATTATAACACTTCAGCGCCGAACGAAAGATTTGGGTTCTTAAAAGCAAAAAAGGGAAATACCTTGCCTGAAAAATGGTAGGGAGTGGCAAGGTTGACAATGGAATCAACACTGGAGGCTCTGGGCACATACACCTGTCTTTTTCGTATCAAAGATAAAAGAAAAATGAAAGGAAAATGTGGCAACTGCTGAGCTATTGTTGCATTTGTAGTCACTTTCATTTTGTCTTAAAGGGGAAAAGTATCAATAACAATATACTTCATTTTTCTAAACATTGTTTGACAAAACATACTTCTGTGGTAAATCAAATTCTGTAGGCCGCTGTGACCTTGATCCCATATTTATATTTTAGATTGTGGGGATCATCTTGTAAAATCTATTGTTCCAAGAGATAAAAAGAAATATTCTTCATGAAGTTAAGGCTGACTGAATCTATACAATTAATCTATAGAACGTCTTATGTTACCTCATGAATACAAAGAAGCACAGAGTTTGCAGACAGAACCTCTAGCCATAATATTTCCTTAGAGGATGTACAACAGAATTTCACGATAAAATAGATACAGGCATAACACTTTCCTTTGTAAAATTGTTACAGGCAGCACAAGAGGTGAAATGTCAGACGTTTCCTTAAGTCAAAAGTGAATGGGATGGGGGAGGGAGTAGGAGCAGTGGGAAACGGTCTTTCTGTTGTGCCTTATGAAGGCTCCCAACCCATTTCAGATATTATTTTCCTTCAGTTGAACCACCAAATCCTGGCTAGGGGAAAAAATAGAGGGTGAGGTTTGGAGGGCAGAACTGGCAAACATCAGAGAAGTTCCCTTTCATAAGAACACACGGACCCACACACACCCCTGCTGGTTCAGACCAAAGGCTTCCCTAGTCCAGAATTTTGCACCTCCAGTGGCCAGTGAAATGCCCCAGTGGGAAGTTCATAAGCAGGGCAGGAGCACAATAGTACCCCTACCCCTGGCCAGGTTCCCAGTTTCTGGCATGGCAGATATACCGGAGGCCATATATGGCCAGCCATTGATAGCCTTCACCAGGAATTCCCCCAGTCTCCTTTGGATCCATCCGTCTATCCTGTTCTTACCTGCAGTCATGGGCCACTCCTGCCTCTCGCTCCTGTGATATTCATATTGTCTCCAGTTGTTCGGCCTGCTTTTGCCAAGACATCACGTAGTTCTGCCTGAAGCGCAAGGATAACACTTCCTCCTTTCTTTGCAGGTAATGTGGAGGCCGCACTTGACTTGGTATTGATCAATTCACTCCCTACCGTAGCCGATTCGGAGACATCGCTCATCTGCGTCACATCTAGATGGTGTTCCCCGGACTCTATCAAAATTGGGAGAGACTACGTGTCCTTGATGAATCAGCATCCAGATGCCCTGGAGGTGACAGAAGACGAGGGGTGGGGAATAGCAAAGAAGGTAGTATGGCCAAGGGAAAAGTCTGGTGAAAGCATTGGCGCCTACTACTGTGAAGGCAAATTCAAAGATCAAGTGAGGAGGATACTTACCATGAAGATGCAGCAAACAGGTGCGTTGCACAATACTAGTCACTGGACCCAGAGATGTGCCAGGCCCCTGCCAGATACATGTGTGCGTATGGACTTTAGAGCTTAAATAAAGAGAAAGCAATAATGATTAAGCACGGCCAAACGAATCCTGAAAATAAGGGTGCTCCTCACCTGAGGTTTTGAGAATTGCTCATGGGGCTAAGTATGGAAGCAGACAGTGGTGCGGTATGGAATCTAGAGGCACAGCCCTCGTGTTGGAGGGGAAATGAGTATGTTTTATACATGCTTTCCCCCATACATTTGTAGGGCAGCCTTCCCTACCTGGCACCTTCCAGAGGCGAAGGATTGCGATTCCTATTATGGCAAGGTGCAAATGCAGAAAGTTGCAGTCCAGTACTTTGGGGTGGAGAAATTTGACTATTCAAGGTTTTCAGCTCTTGTAAGACCTTGTGATCTTACTAATAATGCTAGAGTAGAACACATCAGATTCAAAACAGTGTGATGTGGTCCAGGCCATCCTCAAGAATAGGGGTGGGCAGAAGGTAGATTGGGATCAGTTGGGGGATCTGCAAGGAATTGGCAAGCATTTTCAACCTGTTGTTGTCTAACGAGGGCAACAGCTAAAAGCTGGCCCCTTCCCTGTGTTAATGAAGAACACGACTGAGACCAGTAACAGGAATGGGCTTTCTTGTGGAAGAACATGTTAGCTTGGTTCTGCTGCTGCTGCTGCTGAATTCCTGTGCTGGGGCTGAGCTATTCTATTGTACCTGCCTCTGGTTGGTGGCCCTCCATGTTCAAGCCAAGGAGCAAAGTGAATCCAAAAAGTTTAAAGCCTGCCTACTTCTGCTTTAGAACAAAAAGAGTGACTGCTCAAGCAGGAGAACTCTAGGTCTTGTAGGCTCAAAGGCTGGGAGGTTTGCTTTCCTCTGTAACAGCAGTGGAATATTCACCCCAGAGGTCACGTGAGAGGAAGAACCTACATGGATTGGAAGCCCACCGGCAGCTGGAGGGTGTAACACACGGCACCATAACAATCAGGGAACATTGAACGCTTTGGGCCAGTGGGAGAAAGTGTCATGAACATCCAGACCTTATGTCAGTAAATGACATAGGATGGTGGACCCTCTCTAATTTCAAACAGGAGCCACCTTGGGGTCCACTGCTGAGGCAACTTTCCTGGGCCAGCGGGCTTCTCGTCCCCCCCTTCCCTGCACCAGTTAAGTGGTGACACTGTGTGCTAAACCGAGCTGCAGACCTGTTCAGGCCTCTCCTCTCCTTCCTCCTCCACACTGTCCAAGCAAGGCCTCAGTCTGTTACCAGGCAGGCAAGTTCTGATGGGCTCGCTTGGCTCTTGATGGGGATGGTTGGTTTCCCACTCGACTCAGTGCTACAAAATGACCTAGCGCAGGTCCTTGCTGTTCTGCCCCTCCTGCCTATGCATTCAGTTGTCCACCTCCACACATACGCCCTCCGGTACATGTTTCTCTTTCATTCTTGGGTTCCTCCCTGCTACCTCAACTTACTGCCTATTGCTCCTATATTCTCTTCTCCTGCCCCAGCCACCTTACCGCTGAGGAGCCATTGTTGCTCTTCTGTGCCATCAAGTCGTCTCTGATGTATGGTGACCCTGTGCATTAAAGTTCTCCAAAACGTCCTGTCCAGGACAGCCTTGCAAATTCGAGGCAATGGTTTCCTTTATGGAGTCAGTCCATCTCAAGTTTGGTGTTCCTTTTTTCCCCTTCTGCCTTCTACATTTCCTAGCATGATTGTCTTCTCCATGGAGTTTTGTCTTCTCTTGATGTGCCCAAAGTATGACAGCCTGAGTTTTGTCATTTTGCTTGTAGGGAAAGTTCTGGTTTGATTTGATCTAGGCTCGCTTGTTTGTCTTTCTGTTGGTCTAGGCCACAAAGCAGCCCTCCATCCCCATTTTTCAAATGCACCAATTTTCTTCCTCACAGCTTTCTTTACTGTCCAGCTTTCATATCCATACACAGAGATCGGGAATCCAATAGTGTGGATGATCTTGGCCTGGTACCCAGTAAAATGTCCTCTTTTTCAGTCCCTTCATTGCTGCCCTTTCACATCTCTGTCTTCTTCAAGTTTTTTGGCTACAGTCTCCATCTGAGTGAGCCAAGATATGTAAAATAGACCTCCTGATTTCTACCCCATGGCACAAAGCCACCTCTTGTAGTCCTGTTCACAGACGCCGACCCACCCCGAAGCAAACAACAAAGCAAAGCTGGAGATCCTCTGCTAAGAGTGAACAGCTGCCGCACAGAGAGAGCAAAAGAGGGAGAGGCGCAGAGAGCCCTGCTTGAAGGGACTGGAAGACATCAGTGGCCCTCAGACACTGCAGTGAAGGACAGTGAGGGACAACCCTGGTGTCCAAACCACAGCATGTAGAACTTCTTCCAGAGACACAGAGCAGTGTGGATGGGCCTTAATCATTCACCATACTGCCATGTCTTGCTAGAAGGACAGTGTAAGCAAAGAGACCTAATATAAAGACATTAACGAATACCAAATCCCCTGAATATTGTTCAAGGGAAGTTCTTAAAAAATGAAAGGAGCCTTCCTATGTCACATATTTGTAGGTGTTAGGATAATATACACCATGGACTAGAAGATAAAACATGTTCCTAAATTAAGGAAAAAGTACATTAAATTATAGGACCTATCAAGTTGAAGAATATTAACAAGGTGTATGTTCATGAATCATGTTAACATGGTCAACGTAAAATTAAATAGGACTAAAGTAGAGTGGAAGTGTTTTGAAGTATATTGGAATGCCAAATGAAATACAGTGCATATTAAAAACCTTTTTTAGTAATTGAACAATCACTGCTTGCTTTGCTTCTCTGTGTTTATGACAGTAAAAATGTAAAGCATCTATTAAACAAGGCTTTCCTTGTTAGATTTTCCAAAACAGACAGGGGATTGTGTCTGAAGATGAATGCTTGAGTATTTGGACCAAAATAGGATCTCATAAACAACTTTCCCTTTCCTGGGGCTGTTTCTGGAATGCTGTCATGCAGCCATTCTTTCCTCAGCTTAGTCATCTGTGGTCTGTGTCAGAGGATTTGTCTTTGTAGACGATTGATCTCTGAAGGTTCATTGGTGTACTCCAGCAGTAATATGAGAAATGTCTTTGATTGCGTTTTATCCTGCCCATGATTAATTCCCACCCAGTCTTTAACTGACCACAACCTATAAACCTATATACCAAGCCACTTTGTAGATAGTTTGCATCTTGCGGAACTGTCCCAGACACTATGAAGTCATAGAAGAGCTATGACTCAGTGATCCTGAGTGACTACTTATACAGGGCTAAAAAAGATGACAAAAGAGGACTTCGAATTGAATAATGTTTGAAATATACAAGCAGATATGTGTGGGCATATTTAGAAATTGTTTGTTTGTTTACATGTATTTATAGGCCACCTATAATTGCCAAGGCCTTCCCAGGAGGCTTACAATGCATAAAACATATCAACAGAGTAAAATACTTTAAAACCAATTAAAACATAATGAATTAAACATCTATAAAAGCAATTAAAAATGGCCACAGCATGCAGGCTAATTGTTAAAAAATATCCTAAAAAGATATGTCTTTGCCTAGCACCGAAAGGAAAATAAAGATGGCCCCAGGTGAATTTCCCTAGGGAGGGAGTTCCAGAGATGGGGAGCAGCAGCAGAAAAGGCCTTTTGCCTCGTTGCCACCCTGCTCATCTCCCTGAGGCGTGGTTCTTGTAGAAGGGCCTCCTGAGCTGATCTAAGCAGGCAGGTAGGTGTATATGGGTGGAGACGGTTCTTTAGATAGTTAATGACTATGCATTAACTAGAAATATGATACAATGAACCATAAGACTGTGAGCAGGTGACCTATGGTGTGCGTACTCAATTCTGCTGTCTGGGGATAACCACAGATGAGCTTCAAGAGTTGGGCTTCAAGAGTAAAAGACCTTCTTATGGTTTTTAAATCATTAAACTAGACTTGGGATAGCTAGCCCTTTAGGTAGTGGACTCTTCCAAACCAAAGGACTATCCTCTGTAAAGTCGGACACCTGCTCATCCTTCAGCATGTGCTTTTCATGCAGAAGTTCTGAGGTCCACTGTCTGGCATCTCCAGCTAACAAGATAAACCTCTCTTTCTGACTGAGAGCCTGGAAAGTTGCTGCTAGTCAAGCTAGACCATGATGGGCTAGAACCGCAGTATTCGGACTGTGTTCCAGAACCCCAGGCTTCCGAGAAAATCATCTAGGGGTTCAGTGAGAATTATGCAGGGGTCTACGCCTACGATTATAGTGAAATTGTGAGATCTTCCTTTCTTTGTTTTGCTTAAAATAGAAGTCTATAACTAGGTAAGATCATCATTCATTTTAATCCACATGTACCTTTAAAAGTAGATTTGTTCATTTTAAAGCAAAAGTGGATTCAAATTACAAGGAATCACAATTACACAGGCTTAATACAGGGATGCAGAACCAGAAATGTACTTACAAGTGTCATCAGAAACACCAAATTTTTATTTTCTTTGTGGCAAAACACAAGCACATCCGAGTCATTAAAATGAAGTATAATTGTTCATGTTATGTTAGTGATGCTATACTGAAATTTAGTATTGTTTCATTAAATTTACTATTTAGTTACTAAGTAATAAGGTAACTATTGTACTATTGTACAATAGTGTAACATTTTGTTCAAATAACTAGCATTACATGAAACGTGTTTATGAATGGGTCCTGCACTGATTTTTCATGCTGAGGAGGATTCCTTGGCTATCTCAAGCTTGAAGACCGCCGAACTGGAATGATGAGGATATAAAGTAGCCAGTAGATCTTCTGAGATCCCTTTGAAAGGCAGGCTGTCAACTTGCTTGTGAAACAAGGGTGCCGTGCCTTGGGACAGCCTCCGAGGCAAGGGGGAAACAGTGGTTGGGAAAACAAACACAGAGAAACCCCAAGTGTGCACAGAAGCCCTTGTGTATCCCTCAAGGAACCCTTGGATCCTAGTCTAAGATGTTAATCTACATGTGATGCAAACAGCCACTCCTACGAAGCCCAGGTATTGTTCTTCTCTGAATACTCAATCCAGGCCAACCGTAAACGAATGAACTACTCAATATAGGCCACAAGCTAAAAATATACTGGAACGAAGCCCGCTGAAGAACGTGGATTCCTTTCCATTCTAACAATAGTGTGAACTAAAGAGTTTGTGGATAAACTAAACAGCTTGTACAAAAGGCTTATGGCTCTGGAGTGGGTGTGGGGGCCCAAGGAAACCAAAAAAGAAATTACAGAATGCCTTATTTTGAAATAAATGTCATTGGGCTATTACTAATATTGAAAAATTGAGATTAATTCAAACAGCCCACATAGATAAAGTCTGAAAGTCTTGCTCCTAGAGCATATATTATAAATTGTCTTCTCCCTTGTGATTAATATTCCCAAATAGTTCAGTATGGTTACTTCTTTGTTGTTTATGCACTTTAAATAGCTGAATAAAATTAAGACATACATTGAATTACACAATCTCACACTTGGACAGCACAGGAATATAATATTATATTTCCATCTTCCATTCTGGAAGATCCACAAAGAGGCCATCTTTATTCCGACTGATTCACATGCCATGGTTTTGTTTCTGTTTTTCAATTTTAGCTTCCTTCCTTCCAGAGGCTTTAACAATCACAGCCAACAAGGGGGAACTCGTCAACATTCCCTTCAGCCGAACGGTTGTTAAGGAGGAGGATGCCGTCATCTACAAAAATGGTATCCATGCCCTCTTTCTTCTTTCTGTGTTGAAAATGTACATGCTCTGGAGTGAGCAGATTCTCTTGGGCACGTGGGGCTTCTTATTACAGAGTCAACTACACACACAGGAAAAGTGGGGGGAAACGGGGTGGCCATTTTACATGTTACTGTAGGTGCAGGGGAGCAAGTGGGAGTCAGCCACTCACTCCCTTTGAATCTAGGTACTGGACAGACATCTCAGCTGGGCCTGTAGGCCATCTCTTGCTATCTTATGATTTGACTTTTGTCAGCAGAATGTGAACTTCCAAAGAATGTCTTAATCAAAGCCTTGCATTTGTGAAACTGCCCGTGGTTCTTTAGGAAACCCCAACTCTTTAATCCAGCACCCTTTGGGGGCAGGCAGTGTCACTGTGCAAGTCAACTGAAATGGGCTTTGGGTGTCACCACCTTTCCACTGGACTAAAGCTTGACCTAACCTATCCCATTAAATGAGTTCACTGCAGGACTTACGAGGAGCAATGTGATTGGGGTTCTTCCCCAGCTCTTAATCTCAGCCACTCCCCAAAATATAAATTATTAGACTTGTTCAGAAGCTTGGCTGAAAAGCCCAAAGCAGGAATGATGGAAAATATAGGTTGGTTCAGAATATACTGAGCAGAACACCTAGCTCTTTAACCACAAAAAGCATGATCCATGATCATGCACAGAGTGTGTTATAGTCTCCTGTATAAAATTTGTTCCTCACTTCTAAGACATTTAAACCTATAAATGTGTCAGTAGGCAAGTACTTCCTTTCTTATGTGTCACAGAAGACCCATTCTAGGAAAGGGTCAAAGGGTGTAATTCTTCTTGCCAAAAGAACAGCTGGAGTTCAGGGAGCATGTCTAGCTATTTCCAGCTGAAAGGATGAATAAATCTGACAATTTCAGTTTTTTTCTAGTCCATATTTTTTCAATCTTAAGTTCAGTTCATTCTGAACTTGGAGAATTTTTTCAGCCTTAAGTTCCATCTATCAAAATGGGATGAAACTTTAATTTTTTTAAATGGATGAAACATATGCATTTTGTGTTGTTGTTGCTTGCTTAATACATACATCTCATGGAAGAAATTTTCCTAATGTAATTCATTTATAAATTGTTACTTTTATGAAAAGCCACATTTTTGTCTGCACTTCTTCCTAATATAAGAATTTTTATATGCATGTTTTGAGTGGAGAACTCCATTGCAAAAGTCACAGAAATATGAATTTCAAAGTTTTAGCTCACATGTTGGTTTAGGAGTGTGAAATTAGGTAAGTTCAAATCAAAATGTGAAAGGAATATATTTCTCCCCCATCATTACTGAAGATTGGAAACTGGAAAGCAGAAACTGGGTAACTGGAGCGTTGATACTGGACAACTCCTTAATCAAGCTACTAAATTCATTACTTATAGGAATGTGTCTGTGAAATGGGCACAGTGGCAAGCCTTGCTTCAGGATATTTGAAGGACAGAACATGCTGTTGCCTCCTCAAGAAAGGGGCCGGGAAGGAATACGGAGCCCCTTTAGTGCATAACAAAATTTCAGTTATACATTGATATGATTCTGTTATTTCCACCTCCAACTTCCCAACTCTCTGGGTCAGAGGCAATATCAGATACTGTAAAAGTACTCTCTTATCCGTGACAGCGCTTTCACGCGTGCACAGTATCCCTGCTGCAGTCATCAAGGAGCGAACACGTATGTAGGAAGTCACTGGGGCTGCCGTGGTTGAGCTTATCCTCGGTTGTGTGGATACAGGCTCCTCTCTCCCCTGCAGGTACTTTCATCTATTCGGTCCTCAAGCACGAAGTTCCCCCTGTGCTACAAGTGCCTCTCACCCCGGTCCAGCTCTCCGATGCAGGCGTCTACTCTGCCAGATACATTGGAGGAAGCCACTTCACTTCGGCCTACACTCGGCTGATAGTACGAAGTAAGACCTCACCCGATTCTTCAGTGGAAAGTAGACATAGGAACCCCTAGTGCCTGGCAGATGTTAGGCTCTTCCCACACTCTTGTGAGAGTAGGGCTCATCTGCCCCCATGCTGAGGCTACAGACAGTGGGGTGTAGTGGTTAAGAGCGCTGGGCTGGGACTTGCAAGACCAGGCCCTAGTCCCCACTCAGCCATGGAGCTTGCTGAGCGACTCTGGGCCAGTTGCTGACTCTCAGCCTGTTGCTGTGAGGAGAAAATGGAGAGGAGGAGAACCTTGCAAGCTGCCTTGCCAGAGGAAGAGCGGTGGGAATAAATGTATGAAATATGACGGCAGGGGATTTTTTTCCGAGGGCCAAATTACATGTTAGAGACTTAACATTTTATAAAAAGCAAGGTTAACTGGCCTCTTTTATTTGGAAATTGTTCCTGGTTTGGATCAGAGCCTTATGCCAGTTTGCTGCTGAATACCACCCATCCTCTCTTACTGTTTTCCTCAAAAGTGATGCCTGTTGCAGACCATTCTGCTCAGCGGCATCTGGCCCTGGGAGGGCATTTTCAGTGGAAAACTGGCCTGGGATCCCGCTCTGGATTGGGAGGATGTTCCAGGTTGGAGCCCCTTGCTTTGTCTTCAGAATAAGTGGCCCATTTAAGCAGGCTTTTGAAAAGGGGCAAATAAGATAATGTGTCCTTCAGTTCTGACTTTTGCTGACTATTTGCAGCTGTTTTTAAGGTATGTATCTACACTCTGGCAAGCCAAACTCTGTCCAATCATGGCAACCAAACAGGGGCTGATTAATCTTTCTGTTTTTATTTCCTGGGGTGGGAGTTCAAGTGCACTGCAGACCATCAGGTATGACTGGTTTGATGGTCAGTGGCCTGTTTTGGTGGGACACTGATTATGCAGGCTAATGTAGCATTTCCCCCTTGATGTCACCATCAAGGGATTAAAAAAAAACGGTATTTAGGAGCTCTGTGAGGAGTAACATCAGAAGCAAATTTTATCATTTTTATTGCAGCTTAACCTGTGTTGTTGCTTTAATACATCTTAAATTATTTTTATAAGCTGCCTTGAGTGCTATTTTTGGTAGAAAGGTGTGGTTTAAATCATACAAATAAATTGAATTACGAGTGCTACAGTTTAATGCCTTCTCACACATTTCTGTGAAGTGGAAATGCGGTATCCTTCATTATGATTTATTCAATTTATTCAATATCCAGTTCAATACCTTATAGCTGACGCTTGCAGCGTGTCATACATAATAAAAGCAAATGCAATGCAAACAATTATAAAATACATGTCTGAGATATGGGGAAAGCGTGTTCTTAGAGGACTTGCACATGAAGCCCAGCAGGCCAAACATTCTCCTACCAGCCATGAATTGTAGTGTGTCAACACTGTAACATTTATTCCAGAACCTTAATTGCCCATCTTTGGGAACTTTTGTTTTCTTATGGTGTTCCAGATAGTGTGGAAGTCTAAAACAAGCATTACTTTAAATTCTTATCTAGCTTTGTGGGTTTTTTAAAATCCTTAATCTAAAATAGGCACATGTGTCTATCCTGTTAGGGACCCAAGCACAGGGAGTGGAGTTTAAGATCTGCAATGGCACGCTGTGCCTACTCTGGATAATTGTGCTTTTTGGTCTAGGTTTTTTTTAAGAAAAAAATGCAGCTGCTAGATACTGATTTATAGCAATGCCAGTTTTGGCCTTAAGAGAAACCCTCGTAAAACTCTATAAACTCTTACATGACTACACCCAGCCCCTTTTCATTTAGGAACTTGATATCAGCTCACCAGCTCTCATTATACTTTTGCATGAAGGGTGTGAAGCTCAGAAATGGGGACCAGAATGCAACTCTCCCTGTCCAGACTGCCAGAACAGTGGCATCTGCCATGAAGATACCGGAGGATGCATTTGCCCGCCAGGCTTCATGGGGAAAACATGCGAGAAGGGTAAGAGAAGGCCTTTTTGCATAAGATGGGGTATGACCGCTTCCACTCCAACTATCCATCATCTGATTACGTATCTTCTATTGCCATCCCACCATGCTGGTACTTAGCTATATGGACTAAGTACCATAGTACTTAATGGTTTTTTTCTTTCTTATCTAGCTTTGTGGGTAAATGGTTTTTTTCCTTTTTGGGGGGAGGGTATGGGGAGGAATTGCCTCCTTCTGGCCTTGCTGGCAGGAATTTGGACAGACAGAGTCCTCTGTCTCTCTGCAAGTACAACCCATGGCATAACTGAAGATCCAAGACTAAATAAGTAGCAACTTGAGATCCTGACCAATTCCTGGACTGCAATCCATAGGTAATGTGCTGCATTACGTGTGCTGCATGTAAGTGCCACAGAATGCAATAGGATTTACATCTGAGAAGACATGTATAGGATTGCGACCTGAGCAAGAATGTTAGAAGAAAGTCTAACAGAATGTGCTTCACAGAATGTGCAATTAACTTCTTGAACAAGATGTGAGCCAGCATCCAGTGGGGATCAGACTGTGGCTGAGGAGCACTGTACTCACATTTTTCTTTCTTTTTTTGCTAGAACTTTCTCAAGTCTTGTTTTGCAACTGCCCTTTCTTTCTGAATTAGGTGTTTCTAATTTCTCAGAGCCATCTGAGAAGGAGTCCTATACCGAGCAGGGGGTTAGACCTGACGGCCTTCTGGCCATCCTATCTTCCTGTCCTACCATCCTACTACACTTCTATGATTCTGTTTATTTAATTATTTAATTATACATCCATGTGTTTTTAGAGAATACCAGATCCTTTGCAAATTTTCCAGTTACCTGAACAATTCTATGAATAATTCACATGTTTCTACCAGTGAATATATTGGTTAAATTTATGGTAAAACATGGTTTATTCTGATTGATTATTTTGGTCACTTGAGCAAACTTCTTTTTGGAATTAGTGAAGTTCTTCTTTGTGGTCTCTGTGCTTCACACACATGGGTTCAATACCTGCACAATGCTTTTTTTAAGTTTCCATAGCTGAGGAACTTTTGGTGGGAATTCACCTCCACCATCCGAATTCTGATGCTCCCCACCATCAGAAAAGTCCCTGTACCAGTGATGCTTAATCATGGAGTTCCTTTGCCAAAGCTGCACAGAGTTGCGACTTGGTTCAACCTGTCCAAGTTATTAGCCGTCCTTTCATCAGTAGTGCATTAACAACACCAACCCATTTCGGCTGTCAACTTCTCACTTGCCTGGATGTATGAATGCACAGATGACCACTGAAAGAACCACAGTTACAGGTATGCAACCTGTTCTTACGCAACTTCAACTGGACTTCTCACATTTCCAAACTCAACTTATGTTATGATGGGTTCTTCCTTTTGTTAGACGTGACCAGATTCAAATGGGTTAGTGTGCTTTCATCAGAATAACCTGTTTGGAGTTGGATATATTTAAAATCTGGTTTATGCACCCAGTATTTTGAAGACAACAAAGGTTGCTATTATAGATGCTCAGATAATTCATGGGCCTGACACTCCTTCTCATTACAGCTTGTGGAGAAAACAGATTCGGAAGAGCTTGCCAAGAAACCTGTAAGGCAAAATCAGGTTGCAAGTCTTTTATGTTTTGCCTGCCTGATCCATATGGCTGCTCATGTGCATCAGGATGGAAGGGACTCCAGTGTGACAAAGGTAAGGACATATACACAAGCAACCTATGGAGGTATCTGTGCAGAAGGTAGGGTGCAAAGACTCCTAACATGCAGCTTCCTTCCCATAGAAGGAAAGTAACAGATTGGGCCCAAGTACAATTTTTTAATCCAGTCACTGGTGGTTCATATCGGTTGTTCGTATTTTTCTCCGATGGCACTGTCTAATCAGGTTTGGGTGATCTGAGCAAGCAAGACTTTTGCAAGCACTTTACACCTGTAAGAAATACTTGCTGCACTCTTGCACTGTGTGGTGGAGTTGCCCCACACATGGCACTGGAATGTGGGAAGAGGGTCTTGCAGGGCAGGTGATAATGTTTGATCAAGGTATTTTGGCTCACAAAGCAATGTCAAAAGGGTCTAATCTATCTGATTAGTTCCAAAAAATTTATCTCTCCTCTGTTTTATATCAGTTTGACTGCCAAGACATGCCCTCAAGAACCCTGGAAATTGTAATTTGATGAAGTGCTTAAGAATTCTGGACTAGAAATCTTTTCATTCCCTGAACTACAACTGCTGGAGTTGTTGGACAGTTCCCTCCATTTATCCTATGGTGGAGATATCTCCTAAGCATTAGAATATGACACAAAGGTTCAGCACAAGGCTGTTCAATACATACAAGAATTTGCATGTAGTTTGCATAACTCTTTCAGATACTAATTTGGATTTTGTATTGTGGACCACTAAAGTTGCATTGAAGGACTGCTATCTGAAGAGGTGATCTGGAGTTCCTTGTCCTCGCACCTGCATATTTTGCATGGTTTTAAGGGAGGAGGGGAGCCAGAGGTCAAATTCCCAACTCCAACATCAGCACATTCCCTCCAGCCTTGGACCTGGGAATCCAAAAATTCCTGTGGCCCTTTGGGCACTGATTTGGGTCCACAGATGGCTTCCTTGACTGTTTATCTCCCTCTGTGGAAAGTATTCCTAAAGGCCAGATGTGGGCAAGGCTTTCTGGATCTGGGCCATGCAGAATCCATTCCAGAAGGTCACTGAGCCAGGAGGAGGCCAACTCAAATCAGAAGTTGGAATCAGGGAACAAAACAGCAGAGGCAGCATGTAAAACAGACACACTATTCCTCAGGTTCAGATGCTCTGGGAGTCAATCTCCAAAGGCACCTATGCGATAGCAAGAGCAGAGCCTACAGAAGTGAAGGGGTGGGATGAGGCCAGGGCATTGCTCCATGGAGATCTTAGAAGCCCTTAACCAGAGTAACTAGGAAGCAGAAGTCAGGCTTCTGACGGTGCCCTGCAGCACAGGTAGCGACTGGAGAAAAGCAGTTATATGGAAGGCTTGGTTGACCCAAAAGTACTGTGGTGGGCAAAGTAAAGAAGCAGGGGCACAGGAGAAATCCTCCGGCAATTCACTTTTACGGGCAGCATGTGCGGGCCCATTTTGTGCAACCTTTAATGTGCAGGAAAATAGTAATATCCCTGCTGGGTCTTTATGGTATACAGTTAACATGTACTGATTGCCTTCTGAATTGTGTTGCTGTATCATCGCATATATTGTTTCATGCTCATGCAGAAAGACTGACAATGCATACAGCACTGGTGTATTTAAAGTATTCAGTATCTCATGAAAACAAAAACCAAAACCTGAGCATTGCCCATCCCTACTCCTGAGCTTTCTGGAGGCCAGGAGCCTTTTGGGAATCCTGTAGGGGGATGGGAGAAACCCCTTCCAGGTGTCCTGGAGAGCCGCAGTCCAGTGCTGTCTGGCAGACCTGACAAACTGCTGTTGCTCACTCCACACACCCACGATGTTGACTTTCACAGAACTGGCATGCGTACTACCACGGTCTCACTGCTTGATGATTAACTGCTTGGATGCACTGATGCTCAGTCCTCTTGCCACACAATATTTATAACTGCAGTGGGCAGCATCCCGTGGCTGGAAAGGCATGGGTATGAAGGGCCATCCCTTCTCAGCCTCCACATTCTGTTGCCTCTGCTTTCTCTCTGTTCCCCCGGTATCAAATTTCAGTCTGCAAGTTCCCCTCCTCTTCTGTGCTGTAAGGCACCAAGCACACTCACCAGGGCTGATGTCAAGTGTGCTTGGGCAGCCGCTGAGGGCCCCTAACCAGGACTTGCTCCTCCTCTTCATCTCTCCAAAGATGAAGAGGAGGAGCATCTTCTTGTGGACCAGCATTTTACTCAGGTCCAGACAGTGGTGGTGCTGGTGAACAGCAAAGGATGCCACTACCTGCTTCCACCTAAGATCTCATCTTGTGAACAAGCAAGCGGCAGCGGTGGCAAGAAAAAGGACAAGGCAAGAGCAGCTGGTCGCAATAGTGGTGAGAAAACAGACTTGCCCAGGGCCTCACTGACCCCGAGGATAATATATTTAAGGAGAACAAGCATGTCTACGGTCGACCGATGATACTTGGAATGCTCAGCTTTCATGATGCCACAGTGCTAACACTCCTCTTCTCCGTGTTCTCCTGCAGCTTGTGAGCCTGGTTCTTATGGGCCAGATTGCAAACTGAAGTGTAACAACTGCAGTAACCAGGGAATGTGTGACAGCATTAAGGGATGTGTGTGCCAGCCTGGTTGGCATGGTCTGCAATGTGAAAAAGAAGGTAAAGCAAAGGTAACATTGTAGTGCAACAGCAGTCTTCTTGTTTTGTATGACATTGTCCCCAAAGTTGGTGCCTCCTGTGCAGACAGGCATTCCAGACCCTTTGCTTTAGAAAAGTGTTACTTGCATCATTGACATGAGATAAGCCTAAAACATGAGCTAAGCCTAAAACAAGGCCAGGCTAGATGAGCCTCAGAGAACCCATGGATATTCTCGAAACAGGTTTCTTTTTCAAACTGTAAAAAGGCAGCTATTTGGGGCTGTCAGTTTCCATGGAAGAAAAGCAGAAAGAAGGTTTGCTTTTCCTTCCTGCAGTTTGTCCCCTCGAAATTCTATTACTTAAATTGCTTTTGTCCTGTGGAGAAAAAAGGCCGCTTGCAAGGACGGAAAGTCATCTTGGAAGTAGGGCAATCCTTTTTTTTGGAAAGGATCTTCTCTCTCTCTCTCTCTCTCTCTCACACACACACACACTGGCTGCTTTTTAAGGCCTGATATCAAATAACTACTTTAAAAAAATGTAGTTATTTGATGAAAAGAAACAGGAGAACACATCACTGATCACCTACCTGTCCTCCCTGTACTCTGACAAGGATTCTACGGTTTTCAAGCAGATTCCCATTTGTAAAATGGAGTGTGAAAGCCAAGATAAAGGCTTTGTGATGAAGACAATTAATTACAACTTTCATATAAAAAGGATTCCTTTACTTATTTTGTTTACCATGTTTGTATGCCACTCCACATTGAAGCTCCAGATTCTGGAGCGGAAAATACTTCAAAGTTAAAAGAAGTAAAAGATATCAGGAAGAGGTTAAGATCTTGGCTGGTCTGCAAGAAAGGTTTCCCCAAACATGGCTGCCTTTAGTAGGCACCCAAACCTGTGCAATATTGATGCTTGCTTGACCATTTGAGGCATGGAATTCCATGGAAATGAGGCTGCCACACTGACTGTCCTTCCCCTGGTGGACTCCAGAGGTCTATGTAGGACCATCAGGAAAAAGTTTGATGAGGGAGAAAGTACACTCTCAGGTAACCTGGCCCCAGGATGTTCAGGGCTTGGTAGGTTACACTTGTATATAAGCTTACGCTTCCCTTCAACAGAAATTCTCAGGCCAGTAACATGTATTTGTGAAAGGCTTAAAACTGTCTTAAAAGTATATAAAGCCATTTATTTTCCAGAGGCATCCAGGGAATCAATTTATATTGGATTTGCACAGCATGTGTGTAGTAACCATTTATCCAAGATGATCTCAGATAATAGAACAAGGGAGCCCGCAGTATCAAGACCAGGTTAACATCCAAGGTGATGGCTGACAACTAGACCGGCCAATGGACCAGTCTGGTACTGACCATTGCTATGATGAGGCAACTCTTCCTTCTCACCTTCTTGTTGGCTATGAGGTGGGGGAATCTGAACAAAGGTTGCCCTTCCTGTTTCCACCGCTTTAAGTGTCGATGGCAGCAACCCAGTCAGTAGCTTTGCTGCTCATACTGAGCAGGCCCCATAGGGTTAAGCCAGAAGGAGGAGGCAGGGAGAGATGGCATTTGGGCAGCTTCCTTGCCAACCATGAGGACATCCCTTGCTGCTTTCCCTTAGCCTGGGTTCAGCAGGGGAGGCTGGTGTGACTGCCAAGTAACCAGCTACACAATGATTCTTGGCATTTCCGCCTCTTCTGCTCACTTTCTAACTTAACCCCACCCAGACTGGCCAGGCTGAACATGGCTGGGCACTGAGTGAGCTCAAGGATTATTATCCCAAGCTCCTCCAGCCTCAGCCCCCGGGGCCAGCTGGTGGCCTCCTGTGGACCACACAGCAGGCCCTGATCCAGCGTACACATCAGTAGTGACACCACAGAAGGGTCCAGCTAGAAATGGGGCAATTAGCCATGTTTCAGGCTGCAAGAAAGTGGCAAATGTTAGCTCTATTCAAAGAAGGCTATCTGGTAGGCCTATCAACCTATTAATTCTTTTATCTGATTAATCAGTTGCTTTAATCAGTTAACAGTGTAATCCAATGAGGCTGCTTGCAAAACCCCGAGCATGAATGAGCATGAGCATCCTGTGAATGGTGGAACTTGTGTGGAGACAAAGCTGGCCTCCTCGTTCCTCCCTCCATGCAAGACATTTCAATGGCCAATTTCAGCCCCTGATGGTCAATTTGTATCCTGAATATAAAGACCCTTTTGAGAAATTTAAGTAAGTGTTCTAATATAGAGAAATGAAGAATTATTTCCACAATAAAATAAGCATCTATTTCATAAACAAAGGCTACCTTCAAAGGTTAGAAGGAAAGAGCAATCTAACACCACAATCCAAATAGACAATAAACTGTAAATGATGATGCCCTCAATTCTCAGAATTAGGAATTGATTTTTCTCCTATTAATACATTAAAGCTTTAGACTTGGTGAATGCTGGGAGTTGTCAGACTTCTTCTGTCTAAATATGAATCAGATTGCAGCATTAATTGGCCCCTAATCTAGGTAGGAGATCAGCTGCGCTAAGCTGATACATGATTGTATCGGCTGCATGATTGATTTCCTGCTGAATCCCCACAAGACTAGATTTTCAGCTTACAAACAAAATCACTGCAGAGACACTGTAGTGCAGGGGTCCTCAAACTTTTTTAACAGGGCCAGTTGAAAGGTGTTGGCGATGGGCGCGGGCTGCCTCCAGGTGGGTCCAAAATGATCTCCGCATAAGCAAGCCCCCACCTCGCCATGGGCACGCATGTGCACGCAGCAAGTCCAAAACCTCTGAGGCGGGCTGGATAAATGGGCATGGCGGGCCAGATCCAGCCTACGGGCCCTAGTTTGAGGACCCATGCTGTAGTGTCTTGTTACCCAGACATTTTCTTTTTATTTGTTTTATGATATAAGGCTACAATCCTGAACATGCTTGCCTGAGAGTACATGTATAGGGTGGGCACTGTCAGTGCCTTTGGGCAGAGGCTTATACATGTCAACATAGAAGCTAGGCCCATTGAGTTCAATGGGGACGTATTCTCAGGCCAGCGCGTCTAGAACTGCAGCCAAAATCTTACAGTGCTAGTTTCAGTGCTCGATGCATACAAAATGGTCAATCGTCTTCTAAAAGGGGCAGGAATGCTACACCAGCTCCCTTTTATCTCTAGTGAAAAAGAAAAATGGACAGGGTTGAGAATTCTTCATTTCACACACAGGTGCACCGGATGAATCACCTCAGATAGTGAACTTACCCAGTACAGTGGAACTCAATTCAGGCTCAGAGTTTAAATCTACCTGCATAGTTACTGGCAAACCGCTTCCTACAGAAGGTGAAATCACATTGATAAAAAAGGACGGGTCAGTCCTTCAGGTGAGTCATTGATCTTTCGAGGGGAGGCTTTATCCTGATGGGGATGGTATTATTTCATCACTGAAGCCCCCTTCCCTCATTATCTGCGCCCTCGCACCTGTGTCAACTGGAATTGAAATTTCTGGATCCTGTTTCCTTAATAAGGCATCGTGCAAAATCACCACACTTGATCAGGGATGAGCAATCTAGTGTCATCTGGGAGCTGGATCGCTCTTCTGGACTAAATTGGAGCAGGCGAAAGAGGATTCTTTCTTACTGTGGTGTGAACAGAGGTGCTGGTCTTGATGATTTCCAAGAACTCTTCCAACCCTGCAATTCCATACTTTTAGAACTGAACAGTACAGTTCTATAAACAGAGGACTGTCCACTGAGATACACATGGGCACCCTGTGTGGAAGGCAACCAGGGGCTAAAAGATAGCTAGTTAAACTATGATAGTTAATAGTGTTTAACTATGGTTAAGCAAACAGTAGCAGACTTGACTTGAGCATTGGGAGCACTTGTCCACCTGTCTGCCCTCTGACTGCATGTCTATTCCAGAAGCAGAGAACAAGAACTGGCTAATGCTGGATCAGTCCTGGGTCCATGAAACTATGGAACAAGGATTCCTTGGTGGCTGTGGCCAAATAAACAAGATCTTACAAGACTGTAATGAAAATGTATTAGGTCTTTCCTCTGTTTCTGATGGTTTCTTAAAATAGAAGCATAAATGCCACGAGCATGACATTTTTCTAGGTGCAAAAAAGTTGTAATCAAATTTCACCTGTGTTGTGACTGCAAAGTGAATGTCTGGTTTTTTGCTAAGTCTAAATACCTGAAGAATTTCAAGGGGAGCAAAAAGAAGAAGTTTAGTAAACCTAAACTTAACTGGCTGTGGCAGGGATGGGGGGAATGTTCCACATGTCCCCAATTTCAACCCTCTTTTGTATGGTTTACTGTTTTAGCCTATCACAGTGGCCAACAGAAGCAATCGATCAGAAGCAACAGAAGCCACATTTCACATCGAGAATGTCCAGCCTTCTGATTCTGGAATATGGGTTTACAGTGTTGAGACAGTAGCAGGCATGGTGGAGAAACTGGTCCATGTCACAGTTAAAGGTAACTGCTGTCAGGCTTGGGCACAGCTAAATCCTGCGGAAATTGATGCAAACTAAGTGCCTGTGTACGGTGAAATCTGATTGATTTCAACTGGCCTGAGGTGCCCTTTGCATTTTCTGGCCAGCTCCTGTGGTGAGTAAAAAGGCGGGAAGGGAGCAGCAAAGAGCAACATCATCCGGTATCCACTTCAGAGCAGGCCTCTCTCCCCCATCCTTTTATGTAGAAGGTGAATAGGTGAGACTCTCCAAACAAGTAAAGTATTTTAATTATATCAGGAAGCTACCATAGTTGCTAGATTTCTTAGGGGAAATTAAGGAAACAGGCTTCCACAGCCAAATAAACTTTTTCCTTACTGCACAGTTATATCATATTTGCCCAACAAGTTCCTGTCTTTAGGATGATTAATGGATCGGACATCTTACTTGATATTGGACTGTGATCAGGGCTGACCCACAACATTTTGCTGCTTGAGGCAGAAGACAAAGGGGCTGGCCCCTTCCCCACATTTAGAAGCTGACTGGAAGGCGGATTTTGTTTGCAATAATTACCCCTCGCCTGAGTATGGCAGGCTAGTTTAGGGGTTGTAGGAAGAGCCACACTCCCAGGGTGGTTTTCTGACGTGAAGCAATGGCTCGGGAGCGCAGCAGGGAAAGGCTTGGGGTCTGCTGTTGCTTCCCCCAGTATTTGCTGCTTCACCGCTTAATGGCAGCACCAGCCTGTCTGCCAGTAAGGAACGTGATCATCCAAAAATGACATCCTCACTTTGGGTAAAGGACATTGATGAAGCATCAAGATCAAGCATTTTGCCAAAACATAGATTTGGGGTAGCAAGTGCCTCAAAGCGGGGAGGAAAATGCAGTCTTGTCAATACTGTGATTTCAGTGCTTGGCTCCAGACACTAATGAGAGTACCCACAAGCAGTGGCCTCCAGAAATAAGTTCAGTAGTCATGGAAACCATTGAGGAAGAGGTCAGCTAAACATGAAAGCGAAGACTGGAAAGTGTCGTAGATCTTAAAGGCCTTCCGAGTCTACCAACTTAAGATGGAAAATTAAAGGAGTTACTGGAAACAGAGATCAACAAAAGCCAAGGGACTAGTTAAATGCAGTTTGGGTTGGGGAAGATCTCGAATCGTTTGCAAGATGTTTGCATTGCTGGGCTGCTAGGGAGTCTTGCCGAGAATCTGCACTGGAGTTTCTCCTGTGTGCTAAGCAATGCTGGTGTGTTTTCCAAATGCATTTGCTGCTCTGAGGGCAGATGCTAACGAATGCAGCCCAGAAGCCGCTGTGCTCAAAGCAAGTCTGAGTGCTGCACCCAAATGCATGATGCTCTTTCTAATTGTGGGGTAAGTAGGAGCAGTTTGAAAGGTTACTTTCATTTTATTGTTTGTGTCTTTCTTCAGTGTTAACACATGACACAAGCCCCAGTGTAAGGTGACCACCGTGGGACAAATGTGAGGGCATGCTGCCATTCCAGTTTCCTTTTTCTGAATGTTTTTTCAGTCTGCATGCATACTTTTGATGGTTTGTTGTTGTTGTTAGTTGCAAAGTCGTGTCCAACCCATCGCGGCCCCATGGACAACATTCGTCCAGGCCTTCCTGTCCTCCACCATCCCCCGGAGTCCACTTAAGCTCATGCCGACTGCTTCAGTGACTCCATCTAGCCACCTCATCCTCCACCGTCCTCTTCTTCTTTTGCCCTCAATTTTTCCCAGCATTAGGCTCTTCTCCAGGGAGTCCTTCCTTCTCATTAGGTGGCCAAAGTATTTGAGTTTCATCTTCAGGATCTGGCCTTCTAAAGAGCAGTCAGGGTTGATCTCCTCTAGGACTGACCGGTTTGATCGCCTTGTGGTGCAAGGGACTCACAGGAGTCTCCTCCAGCACCAGAATTCAAAGGCCTCAATCCTTCGGCACTCAGCCTTCCTTATGGTCCAGCTTTCACAGCAGCAATACATTGCTACTGGGAAAACCATAGCCCTGACTATAGGAACTTTTGTTGGCAGGGTGATGTCTCTGCTTTTTAGTATGCTGTCTAGATTTGCCATAGCTTTCCTCCCCAGGAGCAAGCGTCTTTTAATTCCTTGGCTGCAGTCCCCGAAGGAAGCAAGGTGCACAAGTCCGGACTGGTGGACGCGTTACTCCCTCACTGCCTTCCTTTGGCTGCTTGGTCTTTGTATTACAGCCTCCTGAGTCAGCGCGTTGGGTTTGTTTATTTATTTATTCCTCAGGACAGCTTATTTATTTATTTATTTATTTATTGAAACATTTCTATGCCGCCCCATTCGCCGAAGCCTCGGGGTGGCTCACAACATTAAGTTAAAATACAAACATGAAGTTAAAACATTAATTTAACATAACATTAAGTTAAAATGTTTGTAAAGTACAAACATTAAGTTAAAATACAAAAAATAACAATATAAAATAAGTCGCCCTGGCCAGATAAAATCAAATAATACGAACAATTAAAATGACGCTTAAATAAAAAGGTCTTCGCCTGGCGCCGAAAAACAAAAAACGACGTCGCCAGGCGGGCCTCTCTGGGGAGCGCATTCCATAGATTAGGCACCACCGCAGAGAAAGCCCTCCTCCGAGTGCCTACCCTCCTAATTTCTTTCAAATGAAATAACATAAAAATATGACATAAATAAATTACCGACCCACACTGACTGCAGTTAAAAACATATAAAAGACAATATTAAAACTTATTAAAATATTGCTGAAATAAAAAGGTCTGAACCTGGCACCAAAAAACAAATAACGGCAGCGCCAGGCGGACCTCTCTGGGGAGCGCATTCCATAGGCGTTGAGGCGCATTTCATGTGCCCAGTGCCCGAGTGAGATGTACCAAGATAAAATGCTTGTGTAGATCAGCCGTTGAACCCATTGATGTAGCTCAGCTGCAAAGAAGCACTATGAGTATGTGAAGGATGGTGGAAGGGAAACGAATGAGCCTGGAGACTGAGGGAGCTGACGCTTGCTTCTCAACATCATAGGGCACTTTCTGTATCTTCAGAGCTTTTCCATGCTGGGTGAGGGAAGGATGAAGCTCCTTGCGCACTCTTGACACTACACCATTCCTGGAAATTTTAAGTAATCCACCAGTATTTTTCATAAGCAAGAGAAAATCCTTCATGGATTCAGTGAGAACTGGAAAGGAGAGCAGAGAATATTCTAAGTTCTTGGCTGCATGTGCTTGATTAGTGTTGAGTGTGTGAGGTTAAAAAAAGATAACTTTATGGGTTGAGGCCTATGAGATACGAAACAGATGAGCAGATTGCTCCGCTGTAGTGGCATCATTCACATGTCCCCAAACAAGCATGCTCTAGAGGTCATCATGGAACCATCCTTCTGCTTGAAGCCAGAAAACTCTGTTTCCCTATGTATTATTCACTTCACCCATTTCAGAGCTGTTCCCTACACTGTTTCATTCTGGAGGGGGAATAATCATTGCATCAGAGACTATGTGGATATTATAATGAATGAACAGCAGGCAAGAAGTATCCATTCTGTTCTAGGTTTGCACTTGGTGAAATGGGGATGTCAGAATAACTAACGCTGCAGATCCCCCTTCAGAGGCAGGACAGTGGCTTAAACAGAGCAGTACACTGGTCCTTAACAAGCTCTGCTCTTGCATTCCTTCTGTTAATTCTAAACAAATTTAGTTACCATATTTTTCCGACTATGAGAAGCCCCCATGTATAGGACTCCCCCCCACTTTTCTTACTGATCTCCGAGCGAGCAAGCTGCTGCCGCGCACACCTGCCTGCCGCCTCCCTGCCTCCCCACACACACGCGCCCTCACCAGTCTCCCCCCACCCTGTGCGCCCGCAGTTCTCCTCTCAGCCCCCTGTGTATAAGACACCCCTCCATTTTTACGTAAATATTTTTAAGGAAAAGTATCGTCTTATACACAGAAAAATACGGTAGTTACTAATTTTTAATATGAATTATTTAATCATTGTATCACTATTCGTATTCTTCACCAGTTCTTCCTGTGCCTCAAAAAGAACCAACATTGGTAGAAAGAGGACATAATTTTCTCACCATTGCAACAAATGCTGATTCATACTCCGGAGATGGACCGATTGTATCAACTAAAATTCTCTATAAAAGTGCCAAAAGTCCATGGAAGTCAGAGGAAGGTAAGACTTGGTTCAGAAACTGAATATTCATCAGTAGGTTGCAGAACCTCAAGCCTGTGGCCCAGCTGAGGTCCCCATCTGGCCTTCTTGAGTGCTGGAAATGGCCATACTCTTTCCCTTGACCCCTGCTTGATTTCCCCCGACCATTATTTGTCAGTTTCCCAGTTTTCTATACATCTTGGAGAAACTTTGAGTGGCCATGTTTCAGTAATGAGTAGCACAAAATGCCAGAACGTTTGAGCTTAGAGTTTTTACTGCCAGTAATTAAACCTTAGGAAATCCTTTTAAATTGTGTGAGTGCCTGTGGTGGGGGAAACCATGAAATAATTGATGGTTGGAGGAAAAGCAGTGGGGCCAAAGAGAAGAAGGCCTGGGAATAAGGCAAACCCCAGAGGGCTGGATTTGACACTTCAGGTGGGCGTGGTTTAAACTATGGTGAGAACAAGCCAGGATCAAGCTGTGTGTACAGATCCTGGCTTGTTCTCAAATCATTGTTTAACTCTCTGGGCTTGAAACTTCACATGGAGCCATGGTAAGGTAGAACTAGAAAGCTTCTTTTCATGGGTATGCAAGAGGGGATGGGGAAGAAACACACTGTCCTTACTCTCATGAAGAAGAAACGATCTTTTCTGATTATGAATGAGCCACACTTGTGGGATGGGGAACTTGTACCTCTTCCTTCTTACTGCAGCTCATGGTGCCCTAACAGAGTTGCTGATGATGACTGGGCACTCCAGACCTACAGCTGCATGGGGATTTTGGCAAAAATCAGGGACCTTCACCTGTACATGAGGATGCTCCATTGACTCATGCAATGGTTCTGTTGGATACATACCAGCAGGGCACAAAAGGTGCTACCTGTGATATGTATGTGTCTCCCAGTTCTACCCATGGGAAATAAGTTTTACATGTCTTAGCTTTGCTTCAAGATGAAGAAAAATCTATTTGACCAGAGGTCATGGTGGGACTACATTTTCATAGCTCTCAATCTTCGCTCCTGTACTAGTTGGCTTCATCTAATTAATTTTTTCTCTCCTTTCAAACTCAGTCACTGAAAAGACCAAGAGGCTAGACCATCTGGAACCAAACACGGAATATTTTTTCTGTGTCCGGCTGACTCGCAGAGGAGAGGGGGGCACAGGACATCCGGGGCCAACAGGCAGTTTCACTACAGCTGCTGTTGGTATGTAGATCTTTGGACATATCCTATAAAGGGGATAGTCACATCCCGTTTTTAGTCTGTGGCTGCTTTGTGCATATGGGCAGCTATCTGCATGCAGAAAGCATTTCCAGAGGCAATGAATCAAATATTTTGTTCTTACTATTGCTGCGCATTCTTATGAAATCATTTGAGTAAAATTTTGTGAGTGATCAATCCAACAGTGCCTTGCATAGTACCCACTGCATTACACTGAGATTAAACTGTGCAATAGGGTGTATGTTAAAACACTTCATCTAAAGCTGTTGCTTTTATGTACATGGAATTTGCCTCCCTCCCCTTCAAATTCATTAGAAGAATAAGCTGTAAATTAATTTTGCCATCCATATAAGCTAAATATAAATGCAATATCTCTTTATTGTTCTTTCTTATTTCTTTTCATTTTATATTCATTTGATAGTAGATATATTTTATATTTATATTATATTTATTTATATGGACATAGTCTTCCTGTTGATAGGCATTAAATAAAAGTGAGCTATTATTCAACTGTTTTCTTGGTGCTGCACAAAACACTGTTCAAATAATGCAGAAAAGACAAAAACAAAAGGGAGAGTTTCCAAGGAAACAGCAAAAGTTCATGAGAAAGGCTGGTGTGGGAAATTGGAGAGCAAAGAAGGAAACACAGAACTGCACGACCATGAATGTGACAGTGGAACCAGCTACCAAGAGAGGCTGTGTGCTCTCCTACACTAGAAGCATTCAAGAAAAAGCTGGACGGCCATCTGAGTGGGATGGTGTGCCTGGCATCCTGCTCCAGCAGGGGGTTAGACCCAATGGCCTTCTCGGCCCCTTTCAACCCTACGATTCTATGACACACGTTCTTTCTAAAATGAAACCTGTAAACTCCCTCTCAGATTATCTCGGGCTGATTCAGACATTCAAGACAGATACTGAGCATGGCACTTTGGGGTTGGCTCTCTGTGTGTCATGAAACAAAGTTTCATGGTACTGGGGACCACCCTGCAGCTCCTGGAATTAGGTGAGGGTCACGTCCTCTACCACCTCCACCCCAGTCCCAAGAGCAGAGATGGACAACTTGTGCTTCTCCTGATGTTTAGGCCACAATTTCCATCATCCTTCTGCATTTGCTAGCTCACTGGGGCTGGAGGAAGCTGTAGGTTGAAACATCTGGAAGGACACGAATTGCCCCCTGTAAGCACCGCCCTCACTCCAGCTGCCCTCAGCACAATGCCACATCACATAATATCCGGCAGCCAAGCGAAGTGAGCATTGTGCTTCCTCTCCTAACTCTAAGGAAGTATGACTAGGAAGGGAAAAGAGCCGTCATGAGCTGCAAGGACTTCCAGGACTTCCATTATCATTATCGTGGCCTCTAAGATGACAGAACATGTGAAGACAGCAAAGGAGAGCGTGGGGGACAGTTTCAGGAAACCTTCCCAAACTGTGCAGTATTTGCATATGTTCGTGTAAGTTTATGTATATAGACGCACACGTGCACACGCACACCCACACAATACATAATACAAACATGAGACAAACAAACATTATTCATTGGAAAGCCAGGATTTGGTGCTTTCCATATGTATATTGTCTTGCAAACGCAGTTGTGCTTCTTGCCATGTAATGGGGTGCATGGAAAGATCCTCTCAAAATAGCTTTTTATAGAAACAGGCACTGGAGAACATCCAACTTAGAAAAAGGAGTTGCAGTGCATCGTAAATTGTATCAGACTTTTGTCAGCCACCAGTGGAGGGAGTAACACCACACAGGCTACAACAGCAGCAAATATTCTCCGTATTTTAGCATGCCTTGTCCAACTGGTGAAGGGCTTTTCCTTTCCAAAGAAATTAACATGCCTTCTCACGACCTTGTAAGGTCTCCCTCCACCAACAGGCCTCACCCTCGTTCCTCAAAGTACAACCGCTCTGAAATTGTCGTGGCAGCCAGTGGTTCTGCATGGGGAAGGCGACATCCGCATGGAAGTGGAAAAGAAGAGTGTGGCAGATATGAGTGACAAGAGTACGGATAGGTTTCCACTGCAACGAAATCAGTCTACTCTGCTCATTGACAATTTAGAGCCCAGGCATCAGTATATGTGCCGAGTCCGTGTGAACAGCAAGTCGGAAGGAGAATGGAGTGACTATCTGTATGCATGGACCCTCAGTGACCGTAAGTTAATGGGGTACTTCCTGTTTAATAGCCTAACCTCTCCTATATCCTATAGTTATATCCTAATTGTTCTCCTTTGCAATATACGCTGTTTTCAAGGCCTGCTTTCCAATCTGTACAGTATACTTTGGCCTGCTTTGGTGGGCTGCAACACGTCATTTTGTTCCAAGCAGGTCTTTTGCCACATGGCACCCTGCACCTGCCTGGAGAACGAGTCCTTTACAACATGTGAACTGCTTCAGCTATTTAATGTTTGACATCTTTTCTGCAGCTATAAGAAGTCATTTGGTTTTGTGCATAGTCTAACTTTTCCCCTTTCCTCCCTGTTTCTCCACTGGAAAATGATGTCATCACAACAGTGATGTCACTATAACTCTCTGCAGTGTACAGGTAGGTTAAGCCCTGACTGGGACTGTCCCTTGCCTTTTCTAAACCTGTAACAAGTCCACCTTTGTACTAATAACAGATGGGTTTCTGAATGCATGAGGACTCCTAGTGGAATCATGAGGCATTTGTTTGTTCTAATTTGTGATCAACAGGTTGTTCGAGCAACCTTATTTCTACCAAGGCGGCTGCAGGAAATGGGAACATTTTTAAAGCTTCTACAAAGCCCATTATAATACTTTCTAACCAGAATCAATTATCTTCCCCTAATTGATTAGAGGATTTTAGTTGATTCACAATTCGTCAATGCTATTTATATAATTTTGCATATTGTCAAACCCCCATTTTTTTAAACATTAAGGACCTCATTGAAAAACTTTTTTCATCAATTAAAATTGGGACTTATTGATTAAAGGGATGAAAACATGCAACTCTTCTCTTTCCTGATTGTCAGCAAGTTTAGCAACATGGTTATTGTTTCTTTCAAGGAAAGCACAAAAGTTTTGTCATTTTTTAAAAAAATAAGATATTAATTAGAAATGAACTATACTAATAAACTTTCAAAGTAATCTGTCAGCACTATTTACTTCTCATTATTCACTCTTGACAAGTAACTTTAAAATAATTGATTAGTCAGCATAAAAGCTCAACATTATCTCACATTAAAAATCTAACTAATTTAAGACCGTATGGATAGAAGAAAAAGCACAAATTATAAGAACTTGTTACCTGGAAAATGAAGAGCAGAGACCCACCTGCAGAATGGGGTTTCCCACCTGCAGCCCCCACTTTCCGACCACAGCCTTCCTCATCCCCCAAAAGGCCAGCCTTAAACAACCGGATACTTTTGGGTTGCCATAGGATAAGGATTCAAGGTGTTGCAGTGGAGCAATTGACAGAAACTGCAGACTCTTCCCATCTTGTGTAAACATTAGCCCATTCCGCTTACATTCAGAGTGCCACTCAACTGCTGTAATGGTTCAGTGGGGTTTTCCTCTAAGTAGCCACCCATAAGGATGGATGCTGTAAAGCTGCTTATCTAATTCACTATTGCCAAGTTTTAAACATATCCACAACGCCATTCAGTGTTGATCAGATCCAGTTCATTGTGAATGGGTGAAACCAAATCTTCTAACTTCTCTTAGGGGAAACAAAGAGAGATGTGAAATCAAGGAGTTTTTTGTTTGTTTGTTTGCTTGCTTGCTTGCATACTTATTAGGAATTCCTCCTTCACCGGATAATGTCAAGATTATGAATGTCACAGACTCCTCTGCGATTATCTCTTGGTCCACTGCTGAAGGACACTCCATCTCCTCCATCATCCTCAGCTGCAACATTAATGGCAAGACCGAGTACAACCAGATTGATGTCACCATAAGAAATACCACCATTACCCAGTACCACCTCAAGGGTCTTGAGCCAAACAGTGAATATCAGGTTCAGATAAAGGCCCGGAACAATGTCGGATTAAGCACACCAAGCCCTTCCTATGATTTGAAAACTCTCCCAGAAACCAAAGGTTAGTGTCAGTGGAGTTGTGAGCCCCTCACTACTAGAGCAATCCTGTGTATATTTACTCAAAAGTAAGTGCTTTTGTGTTCAATGGAACTTACTCCTAGGTAATTGCGTATAGGACTAAAGGTTAACCATTCTTGACCAATACATGCAAGGCATATTGTGCGTATCCTCCCATTATTTCTTTGTTTATTATATCAGTATTAAGGGCTAAAAATAATTCTGTGTTCTAAGCATTTCTTATGCATATTTCATTCTGACTGTAATACCTGAGCTTGGGCAGATTGCAGAATCCTTTGTCAGAGTCTTTTGTCAAAAGACTGTGCTGCTTATGATCAGAGGAGGAGGAAATTGCAATAAACTGGTATGGTAGAAGTAACAGAATAGTAAGAGAGGGAAAGGCCAAACTAGAAATCCTCCTACCCTTGTTTTCTTTTAATAAGTAACATCCATGGGCTTGCTGATCAGGATCAGGACCACACAAGAAAAGAATGTTATCCTTTCCCCCAGTCCTACAGTCCCAACGGAAATCCTTCCTCAGCTTATTCTGGCAGCAAAGGCCAGTTTCAGGAAGGTCAATTTTCTCGGGATCACAGTATAGCCTGGAAGAGAATTGCCCCTCCCAAAGCTGATGAGGTACTAAATCATTGTCTCCAATGGTCCCAATGTTCCACGTGGCTGCAATGTAATGACAGCAGCAACATCATCAACAACAAACAGATGCAGACTGATAAATGTCTAGGACAATATTTTACTGTTGTTGTTTCATTATCAAGTGTCCTGTGGTTTATGTCCTAGATTTTAACATCCTGTGAGCAAAAACTCTGCTCATAAGACAATGCCTGTGGCGGAAACCTCTCTTCCCTTTTGCCAGTGTTCCTTTCCCCTTGTGTCTTCCTGATCCCTCTGAAAACCTGTTCTGAAGGGTTCTTCTTCGGTTCTGTTCTTTCCATCTAAAACAAATAGAAAGTGGTGCTGAAGGCTCTGGGGGAAAGGGGGAAACAGTGGCATGTGCTTCACTTTCCCCCATTCCATAGCAGGAGAATTCCTTAAGTAGAGCTCCTTCCATGAAGAGAAGCAGCCCTTCCATTTACAGCAGGACTACTTAGGATACAAGCCACTATTTTCTGTTTGTAAGCCGCACTAAACTTTTTTATCATAGAAAAGGGGATGTGAATGTTCAAACAAATAACTATGTTATCTTGTGTAATGTGTCATTTGCCCACACTTTATTTATTTATTTGGAGAGCTTATATGCTGCCCCATTCGCATAAGCCTCGGGGCGGCTTCCAAACCATAACTAAATACAATTGATACAATTACATAAAATATTGGAGACATCCTGGCAAAAAAATGGTTAAAATCAATAAATAAAATGAACAATTAAAATAACGTTTAAATAAAAAGGTCTTGGTCTGGCGCAGAAAAGCAAATAACGGCGCCAGGCGGACCTCTCTTGGGAGCTCATTCCGTAAGTTGGGCACCACCGCAGAGAAAGCCCTCCTCCGGGTACTCACCCTCCTGATATCTTTCACGGAGGGCTCCCGGAGAAAGGCCTGTGCCGCCAATCTCAAGGGGCGGGAGGGCACATGTGGACGTAAGCGCTCCTTTAGGTAATCAGGTCCCAAGCCGTTAAGGGCTTTGTAGGTGATAACCAGGACCTTGAATTGGGCCCGGACTTCAATGGGGAGCCAGTGAAGCTGACGGAGGACTGGAGTTATGTGAGCACAACGCCCGGTCCCCGTCAGCAACCTGGCTCTATTTTGCACCACCTGAAGTATCCAGACCGTCTTCAAGGGCAGCCCCACATAGAGCGCATTACAGAAGTCTAATTGGGAACTAACCAATGCGTGTGTCACTGTAGCCAGGCAATCGTTCTCCAGGTAGGTACGCAGCTGATGTATCAGCCAAAGCTGAAGGAAAGCGCTCCTCGCCACCACTGTTACTTGAACTTCCAAAGACAGCTCTGGATTGAGGAGCACTCCCAAGCTGTGGCCCCTGTCCTTAAGAGGGAGTACAACCCCATTCAGGACAAGGTCGAGGTCCCCCACCCTGAGGCCCGACCCACCTACCAACAGGACCTCCGTCTTGTCTGGATTGAGCTTCAGTTTATTGGCCCTCATCCAGCCCATTACCTCGGCCAGGCACCGGTTCAGCACAGCCACTGTCTCACCTGGATTGGTAGAAAACGAGAGGTAGAGCTGGGTATCATCAGCGTACTGATGATTCCGCAGCCCACACCTCCTAATGACCTCTCCCAGTGGTTTCCTGTAGATGTTAAATAGCATGGGGGACAAAATGGATCCCTGCAGAACTCCATGGCATAACTGCCATGGCACAGAGCCATAGTCCCCCAGCACCACCTTGTGGAATCGGCCATTGAGATAGGAGTGGAACCACTGCAAAGCAGTGCCTCCTACCCCCAATCCCGCTAGCCTATCCAGAAGGATACCGTGGTCGATGGTATCGAAAGCCACTGAGAGGTCCAGGAGGACCAACAGGGATGCACTCGTCTTTATCCCTGCACAGGTCATCGTACAGGGCGACCAAGGCAGATTCAGTACCGTACCCAGGTCTGAAGCCAGACTGAAATGGGTCCAGATAATCAGTCTCATCCAAGAGTGCTTGGAGTTGTCCTGCCACCACCCGCTCTAACTCCTTGCCCAGAAACGGGATGTTGCCCACCGGTCTAAAATTGGTGGCCATCTCTGGATTCAGGGATGCCTTCTTTAGGACTGGTCAGACTACTGCCTCCTTTAAAGGGGCAGGTACCCAGCCATCCCTCAGAGAGGCGTTGACAACCTCCAGGATCCAGGTTCCTATCCTGTGCTTGGCTTTGTTAAGTAGCCAAGATGGGCAAGGGTCCAGTAAGCAGGTGGTGGGATGTACTTGTCCAAGCACCTTGTCCACATCATAAGACTGCAATAACTGAAACTCATCCATCAATTTTGGACCAGAAGGGAACATTGGCACCTCCCCTGAAGGCTCTGAATCACTAGCGGAGTCCACTCGTGATGAATCTGAGCGATTTTCTCCTTAAAATGCTTGGCAAAGTCGTCACAGTGGGTCATCGAGGGCGGTACAGGGTCTCTCTTAGGGCCAGGATGAACTAGCCCTTGTACCACCTGAAAAAGCTCTGCTGGACGGCATTGTGAGGAGGCAATGGAAGTGGAGAAGAATTTCTTTTTCGCCGCCCTCACCGCCACAGCATAGGCTTGATAATGAGCTCTCAAGTGTGTTCGGTCAGATTCATCCCGTGATTTCCTCCACCTACACTCTAGATGTCTCCCAACCCACTTCATTGCCCATAATTCGGGTGTGTACCAGGGGGATGAACGGGCTCTGCCCAGCGGGAGAGGATGCTTAGGAGCGACTGTGTCAATAGCCCTGGTCATTTCCCCATTCCACAGTTCGACCAGAGCATCGACAGGGGCACCAACCTTGTCAACCAGAAATTCCCCCAGGGCCTTCAAGAATCCATCCGGATCCATCCAGCCCCAGGGGCGGACCAGCACAATCGGGTCCACACCCTTACAGAGGGAAAGTCCACTCTCGAGCTCAAACCTCATGAGGAAGTGATCTGACCATGACAGGGGAGTCAGACATAAATTCCTCACCCTCAGATCCCCCTCTTCCTGCCCTGTCGAGAAAACTAGGTCCAGAGTGTGTCCACATTCATGGGTCAGGCCTATGACATGTTGAGACAGCCCCATGGCTGCCATGGAGGCCATGAATTCTTGAGCCGCCCTGGTCAGAACAGTCTCGGCATGGAGATTAAAGTCCCCCAGGACCAGCATCCTGGGAGTCTTGAACACCAGGTCTGAGATGATCTCCATCAGCTCAGGCAGGGAGTCCGTTGGGCAGAAGGGTGCACGGTACACCAACAGAATCCCCAATCTGTCTTGGTTGCCCAACACCAAGTGGAGGCACTCTAGACCTGGCCTCGAGGGGACCGGAAGCCCCATAGGGGGAGATGGAGGCTCGGTAAACTAAAGCAACCCCCCTCCCCTCCAGGCTTGGACAGTGCTGAACCAGATACCTGGGCAGGCACAGTTGAGAGAGGGAGACATTCCCCCACCTCCCGCCCAGGTCTCTGTTATGCAAGCCAGGTCGGCCCCCTCATCCACAATCAGATCGTGGATGAGGGACGATTTATTGTGGACCGACCTGGCATTAAGCAGCAGCACCGACAGGCCCAGGGGGCTGTTGACAAGCCTACCTGGAACCCTCCGGCTGGGGGAATAACCAGAAGAGGGAACAAGTGTCAACCATGTGTCCCTCCTTCTTCTGCAATGACTCATTAAACCCCCCAACGTCATAACGTCCATTGCCCACGACCACCCCAATGGCGGCACCTATGCGCTTCCCAGGCAACCTTATAGTCATCATAGCCAGGAATGAATCCATTAAAATTAAGTTAAAATACAATAAAACCTTTAAAATCCTTTAAAACCTCCCCGTCAACCACCCAATACAAAATTCCACCCGACCAAAAGGGTCCCTAGCCAGCCCAGCCCCGCACGGCCCCGAACGGATCCAAATGGTGATGACCGCCCTTTGGCCACTGCCCTTTGGCTGCCAGCCTGAGGCCACCGGCCCCAGCCGCGTCCGGCAAAATATTCCGGCAGCTTGTCCCTGCGCCCCACCCCCAAACTGGCGTAGCGATCACCCACGCTGGAGGGGGAGAGGGCAAGGGCGGCTGCGCAGCTCTTGCTGGCAAGATGGCGTCCCCAGCGTCCGTCTGCAGGTGATGGCTGACCCACAGTCCAGCTGCAGCGTCCTCTGGCCCCTGGGTCCAGCGATGGCCGCCGTCGGAGGCATCAGCTGTCCCCAGGTCCGGCAGGAGCGGTCACGGAGTCCTCCGCGGCTGCGGCAGCAGCAGGTGGTGATGGTGATGTGGGGGGGGGGCATAAGTACTCTAAAAGTAGTCTAAAGTTCTAGCCAACATTTGTAGGTTTTCTTTTTATTTAAGTTTTATAGCAAAAAAATTAAGCAAACATATGA